CACAACTTAAAATCAACCCTAAGTAGGTGACAATTATTTGGGGAAGATCAAAACACCAGCTGAGTGGTGGTGATACACACCTTTAATCCCAGCACTTGGGAGGCAGAGACAGTTGGATTACTGTAAATTTGAGACCAGCCTGGTCTACAAGAGATAGTTCCAGGAAAACCACCATCTAGGGAAAGGGGCATCATTTTCTTAGAATTATTCCAGCTGTCATGGGGGTGAAGGTGTATGTATGGGATCCTATAGGGAGAAACACACACACACACACACACACACACACACACACACACAAAGGCAATGGTTAAGTCTCAAAAGGTCTAGCTGTAACATTTGTAGCTGGTCTCTGAGTAGCAAATGAGGCTTATCTGAAGTTCTTATCTGAAGCTCTGGCCAGAGTGCTGTAAGAAGGTAGACCATCTCAGCTAGCTAATCTGGAATTGTCTAGAGCAGTTTTAGTCCAAAACCAATCCTTAACTGGTGTTTACTAGTTCAAAGACATCATTTTGAACCAAGAGGAATCAGTGTTATGGGGTCCCATCTTCTTTCTGGAGACTTTAGAGATTGTTGTTAGGAAATTTTATTGTTCACTGTGGAAGACTTTAACATTAGTAACATTAATATCAAAACATAAAAGTTTACATTCTTATAGGCATGCATACAAGGAAAGTTACCAATAAAGATGAAAATAAGTATGGGGGAAATTAGGATTTTTGAGAGATAATGGAGTTTTGACAATAATAGTCCCTAGATTTTGATTTTCTTCTGTCTCACACCAGTTGGCTCTTCTGAGACAAAAACTCTGAATTTTTTTTTTTAACAACATGCTTGGATTTAGAGAAGGAGAGAGCCACAGTCCAACTCCAAAGCCAGCTTTGATTTTTAAGTGATTTGGGACTACCACTATACTGGGAAGCAAGGACATATAGGTGTTTAGGTACTGAGATTTTCCCCGTAGTAGATTTAGGGACCATAGAATAGCACACAACTCTGTCGTTTGCACCGACTTGTAAGGGCTTTAAACCCCCTCACTTATCTCCCCTGATTTATATCCTGCCTTCAGTGATTTGTTTGTATTAGTGTGGCCACCACCCCAAGTCCCCTGGCGAAACAAGATGCCACTACATGTTTCCTCCTCTGTGGAGAGCCTTGGGCACCGGTCTTCTTCCAGGCTGACTTTCTGGAACCATCTCCCAGAATCTTAGTCTCCTTTGCCCACCACCACTCCTGACCATGGAAGATAGGAGACTATGTGACTCTGCTCAAACAGGGGGTGCAGAGGCCCCTGACAAGCTAGTCCTTTGGGCTGTGACTCATCCTATCCTGTGTGTCCTGGGACCACAGCTGGAAGGCAGCTGTTCCGGTGTCCCATGAGGAGGGCAGTCGCCTGGGAACTGGAGAAAGAATGGCTCATAACAGGATGACTCAGGCGAGAGGCCACGGGGGGGGGGGGGGGAGCATGTAGGAAGTTGCTTTTATGCTCTCTTCAGCCTTGGTCTTCCATGGTTAAGCAGATAGAGCAAATAAAAATACAAAACCACCAGTGAACTTTTCAGTCTCAGACACACAGTAGATAATTTCCAGGTGTGTCTCAAATGGTGCATGGCCATGCTTCTGTTATTATTGTCTTTATTTTTATTTTTGTGCTATACCTACACTAAAGGGGTTTAGAGTGGTGTGTGATGGCACTCAGAAGGCAGAGGCAAGCAGATCTGTGGCAGTTTGAGGCCAGTCAGGTCTCCATAGTAAGGCCCTGTCTCAAAGCAAACAAATAAACGTGGAATTCAATCAGCTGGGCATTCTGTTTTTTATCTGGCATGTCAACATCCTGGGGAGCTCCCACCCTGGTGTGGTCACGGCCCTTCTACCAGGACAGAGCAGTAACCATGACTGACAAAAACCCGGAAGGGACTGTTGAAGAAGAAGGGAGAGGGGAAAGGTCGCAGGCAGGAGAGCCCCACAGCCCTTACCTGGCCAAGCAGAGCAGAGGGAGGTGTAACTTTACTGGGGACACCTACACTTCCATCATCCAACACAGGATGTCCTGTCACTCCCACAGCCTCCCTCCAGCACAGGTCTGGCATCTGAGCTTCAGGCTGGAAGTGGACGGGACGTGTTAATAGTGACAGTATCGGGACCTCTTACGCCCTAGGCATGCACTTGATATGGAGCCACACCCAGTCTCTATTTATAAATTCTGACCAGGCAAGGGGAAAAGACAAACACACAAACACAAACCACACACAAACGCGCGCACGCGCGCACACACACACATACACACAAAGGAAAATTTGATCAATAGATTTCAGATGGTGTAACATTACAAAACACAAGTGACAGACTGGGAGGGAATGTCTGCAAAATATGTAATATCCAGTGTATATAAGCACAGACATACTACAGTACAATAAGAGAAAGTGTAGGGAAACAAAGCAAAAAGTAACGTGGTGGTTCGCTCTGTGTGTCCCTTGGTGTGTTTTGAACAATATCAAATTTAGGTCAGTGATTTCTGGGTAGACCAAATTGCCCTTTATCATTTGAGTGGGGCTCACCCAAACAGTGTAAGGCCAGAATCACTAAAAAAGATGGCCTGGGGCAGGGGGCTGGAGAGATGGTTCAGAGGTTAAGAGCTCTGGCTGCTCTTCCAGAGGTCCTGAGTTCCAGTCCCAGCAACCACATTGTAGCTCACAACCATCTATAATAGGATGAGTGCAGAGCATTCATACAAAAAATAAATAAAACAAAAAGTAAATAAAAATTTAAAAATAAAAATGTTTACATTAAAAAAAAATAAGGCCTGGATTTGCTTCTATCATTAGCTTTCCTGGGCCTTGAACCTCTCAGTTACTATACAGATTTGATACGGGGACTGGAGATGTGGCTCACAGGTGGAGCGCTTGCCCCACATCCCCCAACTCTACAAAAAATATAATAAAATCCAGAGGCTAGGGCGATGGCGATGGCTCAGGGGTCAAGAGCTTGCTCTGCACCTAAGGCATAGCTGTGCACCTTGAAAGCAATGAGGGAGGGAATAGAAACGGGTAGACCCCAGGAGCCCATTGGCCAGCCTGGCTGAAATGACTGTCCACTGCTTCCGTGGGTGACTGGCGACACCTCAAAAGATTAGTAGAGCCAAGCACAGTGCCACACACCTTTAATCCCAGCACTTACGAGGCAGAGGCAGGTGGATCTCTGTGAATTCAAGGCCAGCCTGGTCTACAGAGTGAGTTCCAGGACAACCAGGGCTACACAGCGAAACCCTGTCTCAAAAAAACAAAAGCAAACAAACAAAAACAACATCCCCCCCAACCAAGGTGGACATCGAGAGAAATTAACCGGCAAAATATCATTGTCCTGTCATATATGAGAGCCTATTTCTCTGTCCCTCTGTCTGTTGCTTTCAGATTGAACCCAGAACATCTCATGCTAGATGAGATCTCTGCCATTAATTAAGCTATAGCCCCAGAATTTTGTTTCACATTATTATTTAGAGTGTGAGTATGTATGGAAGTCTGTGGGTAGACTCATGCTACGGCATATGTGCAGAAGTCACAGGACGACTGGGAGTCATTTCTTTTACCATGTGAGTCAGAAGGATCAAACTCAGGTTGTCAGGTTTGTTGCTAAGTGCCTTTACCTGCTGAGTTTACCAGCCCCTGCCCCCAACATATTTTTTTTTTCTTATGAGGCAGTCCTGGGGCTGGGATGGAGCTAGCATTTGCCTAGCAGACATGAGGCCCTAGGTGTAACCCCAGCATCCACCCACCCACCCACACAAACAAAAAACAAAAACAAACAAACAAAAACACCCCAAACCAGCATGGTTGCCTGCACTTGCAATCTCAGAGCTTGGAAGGCAGGGGCAGGGGAATGAGAAGTTCTGGGTCATACTCAGCCACATGTCAAAGTTGGAGGCTGGTCTGAACACAGGAGACCCTGACTCAGAGAGCTGCAATGATGCCAAGGCTGCAGTTAAGCAATTACAGAATTGCAGAGTTACCCTAGATTCTCCACATTGCTCTTCACTTCCTGGGGTCCCTGTAGCTCTAGCCTAAGAAGCCTACCGTGGGATCTCACAACTTTGCCGCTCTTCTCCATGCAAGACTCTCATTGTCCTGGATTTATTTGTAGGGCTGTCCCCATGCCCCTGGTAGCCTCCTAGTCAAGCTCTTTGCTCCTCCTAGGGGACCCATCTTCCACACAAACACTGCCTTTCTCCAAGGCCCAGCCTTGGGCTTTTCTGGGGCCTGCCCTCTTCCTGGCAGGTCTCCAAACAGCCATCTCTGCCTGGCCCAGGCTCTCTGGCACTCAGCAGTCTGGCTCTTGTTTCTGGCTAATCTTTTCTACTGCTAATTTCTCTATTCACCCACCATGACAATTCCTCGAAGGTAGGGGTAGCTGAAACTAGGAGGCCTCTTCCACCTCGACAGCCACCAGCCGCTTTTACCAACCGACGCCACATACTTAGTTCAAGCCCAAAGCCCTTAACATGAATATGGCTTTCAACCCTTGCTAGAGGCTGTACTTGCCATGTGTTTCCTAACCTCTCCCTGAGTATCTCTGTCCCGCCTAACCAGCCTCTTAAAATTCTTCCAGATTCAGTTCAGCGTGACGCTGTCTCTTGGCTAGCTCAACGTGGATTTACATCTCTTCTTCCCCCACCTTGAGCCAATCTCCTGCCTGGTATTCGCCCCTGAACATTTATTCGATTTAGTCTATGCAGGTCTCCCACCCAAACCTGGGGACTGTGTTATCTTTACTCGCACAACCATCTTTCAGCTTGTTTAGAGTCCTGGCTGCCTAGCGTGGAAAGACAGTGAATGTACAAATGTCCCCATCCAGAAGCGGACGCTACCCTGTAAACGACCTTGAACGCGCGCCCTGCAGGCAGCCAGCTTAACTGTCGGTGGCCTTAGGCACGTGAAGCCCCATCTCTAGAACAAATCGCCAGGCGCCGCCAGGACCCGGGGGGGTGGGAGGAAAGCAACCAAACAAGCAAGCGCTGCCCTGGGGAGGCGGGCTATGGTGTCATATGATTGTCTTGTCACATGATTCCTAGAAATGGGGTGTGGGGAGAGAGAGGAAAGGGAGGAGGAATGTGAATTGAGTAGAAAAGAAACACAGCATTCTTGGAGAGTCCCGCCTCTATATAGACAAGTAACCAATGGAAGCCCTGGATTCCCGGCCCATGGCTAATGAAAACTGAGGTGGGCGGGCCATCAGGCGGCCGAGCCCTAGTCCAGGAGCTGACCGCCAGATGCCTCCCAGGGAGCGCGGACCCAGAAGCAGGTAGGAGGACCCGTAGCAGACGACTCCCCGGCTACTGTCCAGAGGCCTGGCCAGGCTGCTGTGCTACTGAGGCTGCCCTGGAGCCTCAGCTCAGAGACAAGAGAAGACCTGCCTCTTGAAACTCCCCTAGGGGTTTCGGATGCACTAACGAAGGTTTATCATTTGGGAGGAGTGGGAGCAGTTGTTGTAGACACCCCCAACAAAAGGCTCCCCTGCCCAGCATGTCGGGAAGCTGCAGGCGTTTCTCCACAGCAGGAACCACCCCACTCTTGGGCCAGCTTCACTCTCTGTCTGTGCCTCCCACCTCTTGTTTCCAGATACTGGCGCTTTCTCATTCTGGTGCCGCGAGTGGTCTTCGCGGCGGCTTGCAGTGGGTGGCGATCTCCCGCCCTTGGTCCCAGAGCTCAGAGGGGTTTGGAGCAGGACCTGGGTGTGGTGGCTGAATCCCTGGGTTGTGTCAGCCGTACTTCCTTTATTGGGGGGCGAGAGAGCTAACTTCCGCCTCTCCCCGCCACTTTTCCCTGCTCCTCTGCAGGATTGGCTCACCTTTTGGGAAATTCATCTCCCCTTGACACTCGGAGTTGGGGGGTGCCACCTAGTGGAAGATCTCGAAGCTAGGGCCTTGAAAGACTCCTTCAGTCCTCTCAGGCTGTTTCAACAGAGTGATGTAGAGGTGGCCTAATGAGAGGAATTAGGTCTCCCCTACCCCATTCTAATCTGGCCAGAAAATTACCTTTGGGGTATTCTTTGAGTTAGGGGAGAGGAAGCTTGAAAACCTAGAGAAGGAAGGGGGGATGGCGACAGACAGATAGATCCTCTGTGTAGCCCAGGCTGGCCTCATATTCACCTTGTGGCCTGGAATTTATAATCCTCTCACCTCAGCCTCCCAAGTGCTGGGATCAAAGGCATGTCTCTCATGCCTATCGGAAGCTTTGAGGTCTCAGTGTTGGGATTTCTTGCCTCCTGTGGCCACCAGTGTTCAGATATTGATGATGGATTGAGGGACAGGGGACCATTTCTGAGGCCTTCAGCAACCGATCAGTGGCACTTCCAGATTCTCCACGGTCCCTGTACCCACTTTCTTTTACAGATTTATTTGTTTATTGGGACAGGATCTCTTTGTCCCTGGCTGGCCTTGAACTCAGAGATCTGCCTGAATCTGCTTCTGGATGCTGGGATTAAAGGCGTGTGTCACCACCACCTGGCTGTACCCACCCTGTTTCTATGCTGTGTAGGTCAACCTGCCTGGGAAATGCTCTACCCCTTCCCTCTGTTTGGAACACTAGCCTCTGGGATTTAGGTTCCATTCTCTGGCAGTGTCCAGGGATGTCAGGTGAACCCAGTCCAATATCCGCAGTCTGTTTTCTCTGACTTGATACTTGGGCAAGGATTTGAAAAGTGAAAATGATATGATTGCTGCTTTGCATAGTTGTTGCAGAGAAATACAGTGAGGGATGGCAAAGTGGCTCCCTGGAGGGTCTTTGAACATTGCTGTTTTTGCTGCCCCGGGCAGGGGGGGGCATCACTCTGGGTTGCTGGGAGGCCAGCTGAGCTGGGGAAAGGCTTATTGGGGAAGTAAGAGGCTCAGTTCCCCCTGCTGAGGCAGTAGGGGGGTTTGCAGTTTCGATTTCTAAGTAGGGAGAAACAGGTGACATGTTTGAGGAGTCTAAAAGGGTCCTGGTGATGCTTTGGGGGGGCTCATTATGAAGTTACCTTCAAGGCTAATCCAGCCTCTGTGTGCCCTTCCCTTGGGTGGGGAGGGGACAGTTGTGGGCAGGCAGTGGTTGGCCTGTGGCGAAGGCAGCCCAGACGCCACTGGCCACTGCACTTCCGTTTTCACAACTTTCTCAAACCCTGGTTTCCCATATGATCATATGATCGACAACTGTTTCCCCAAGGGCTTTCAAAAGTACATGTGGGAGTTTAGCACCAGGCAGGGCGGTGGGCTGGCTATCCTCCTGTGGCCGATGAAGTCTCCTCTGCCTCCCAGTTAGCCCACATCCTATAAATCACAGCCACATGCCTACCTGAAGGTTAGAATGCCGCTGCTGTCCAGTCACCTGTAGTGTCAGGGTTAAGGCCATGTGTGAGGACATTCATACCAGCATCCATACCCACAGTGTGTGCAGGCTGGGGTGAGTGTGATGCACACGGGGTAGGGCACTGACTCAGCCAACTACTTGCCTTCCTGTTCACTTGTGGAGCAGATTCAATAAATCCAAGGCCTGCGTGCCTTGGCCAGGGCACGGGGAAGTCCGTGGCCTCAGAATAGGAGGTTGCCTAGGCCTAAGATGGCTGCCAAAGTTTCCTTGGCATTTGCAGGCAGACCATGTGGATCCTGGTGAGCTGGCTGGCCTTAGTGGCAGGGCTGGTGGCTGGAACACAGTGTCCAGATGGTCAGGCCTGCCCTATTGCCTGCTGCGTGAACCCAGGAGGAGGCAGCTACAGCTGCTGCAACCCTCTTCTGGTAAGTGCCTCACGCCCCGGCTGCCAGCCTGACCTTTTGAAGGGCTACCTTGGGTTGGCCAGAAGAGGACTGGCACAGATCCTCTGGAATATGCCATCGCTTCCTTCCAGGACACATTGCCTATGATAATGAGCTATCGTCTGAGTAGCTCCTGTCAGATCCATGACCACTGTCCTGCTGGCTACTCTTGTCTCCTCACTGTGTCAGGGACTTCCAGTTGCTGCGCCTTCCCTAAGGTGAGGGTGCTGTTGGCATGGGGGGGGGTGTGTGCTTAAGATTTGCATTTACCCCTTTCCTTCACGCTCCTCGTCCCAGGCCAAAGGGTCTTGCCCACACAGGCTTCTCTGTGTCCCACAGGGTGTATCTTGCGGTGATGGCTACCACTGCTGCCCCTGGGGCTTTCACTGTAGTACAGATGGCACAGCCTGCTTCCGAGTATCAGGTGCTGTAGGCCCAGGGGAGGGAGGGGTGGATGGGCGTCATGTGGTCCCTGAAATGCTGAGGAGCCCTACTGCCTGGGTGGCCCTGATTCCTGTCCTGCTCTGAACAGAGGGGCGGTTCTCAGAGTAGAGGGGGACAGACAGACAAGGATGCAGAATTGCAGGTGATGCGGGACATGGAGAGGCCCTACTGGAGTGATTTAACACCCACCCGCTCTCACTGGGTGCCTGTGTCACCTCTCTGAAGTAGGGGCTAGCTTGTGGGGAGGGTGGCCTGGGATCCTGGGCGATCCCTTGAGCCCTGGTGCCAGCTCTTAGACCTTCTGAAGCTGGGCCTACGGGGCCTGTCGTTAGTGATGCTGCCAGTGAATGACTTTTGCTGACTGGTGGAACCCTGGGCTCTCCCATCTGCAGATAACGCCCTGGGGGCTGTCCAGTGCCCCGGAAGCCAGTTCGAATGCCCTGACTCCTCTACCTGCTGCATTATGATAGATGGTTCCTGGGGATGCTGCCCCATGCCCCAGGTACAGATGTGGGGGGTGGGGGTGACTAGTGGGTAGTGGGGGGCACAGCCGGGAGCTGGGGCTGATGGAGATGGATTATGGAGCATCTGTCTCTTCTCAGGCCTCTTGCTGTGAAGACAGGGTACACTGCTGTCCCCATGGGGCCTCCTGTGACCTGGTTCATACGCGATGCATTACATCTTTGGGCACCCACGTCTTGTTAAAGAAGTTCCCTGCACAAAGGACCAAAACCAACAGGGCAGGTGAGGAGGTGGCACTTGGAGGTGAAGCCACATTTAACTCTTGGCTGGGAAAACGTTCCCCTCCATCCTGGCAGCCTCCCTCATGCCTCCTTCCTCTTTCAGTGGCTTTGCCTTTCTCGGTAGTGTGCCCTGATGCACAGACCCAGTGCCCTGATGATTCTACCTGCTGTGAGCTACCCACTGGGACGTATGGCTGCTGTCCAATGCCCAACGTGAGTGAAGGGCTGGAGCCAGCTGGGCCTGCATGTATCCTTGCAAGGGGACTCTAGGAACTGGGCTGATTTGCTGGGAGCTTCAAGGCTCATGCTGCCCCCTAGTGGGGGGTTGGGCCAATGTCTGGTCAGCCAGGCTTACTTCCTATGCTCTCTAGACACTTGAATTCAGAGTCCCTTATTTGTCCCAACCCAGGCCATCTGCTGTTCCGACCATCTGCACTGCTGTCCCCAGGACACTGTGTGTGACCTGATCCAGAGTAAGTGCCTCTCCAAGGACTACACCATGGACCTCCTGACCAAGCTGTCTGCATACCCAGGTACAGGGGCAGACTTCTGGAACGAATGTGGGGGTGGGTGTTGATGGCTGCATGGAGGGACCTGGCAGGTGTGTCCTCTCTACACTGGCCTGGCCTGAGCTTCACTGTGGGTTGAGATAGCTACGTACTCCATCTTCAACATCTGGTTCCAGTGCCTAAAGTGAGGGAGGTGAAGTGTGACACGGAGGTGAGCTGCCCAGATGGATACACTTGCTGCCGCCTTACCACCGGGGCCTGGGGCTGCTGTCCGTTTGCCAAGGTAGCTGGGGGCAGTGGGCATACGGGTCCAAACAGAGGAGGCAGCTAGCTTGGCTCCAGTGCTTATTGGCCTTTCTCCGTCCACCTTAGGCTGTGTGCTGTGAGGACCATATACACTGCTGCCCAACAGGGTTTCAGTGTCACACAGAGACAGGAACCTGTGAACAGGGAGCCCTCTGGGTACCCTGGATGAAGAAGGTCACAGCTCCCCTCAGCCTGCCAGACCCACGAGTCTTCAAGAGTGATGTCCCCTGTGATGACCTCACGACTTGTTCTAACAATGCGTGCTGCAGACTCAGTTCTGGGGACTGGGGCTGTTGTCCCATCCCAGAGGTACAAGGGTAGGGGGACAGGAATATAGGGGTGGGGACAGCATCTTGGCCTGGGCAGGTGGGTGGCAAGAGTCCCTTTGCTTTATTCCGCATTCTGCCTAGTCCAGGGTGGTGCCCCGTGCTGTGATCTGTCCCCCGCTGGAGGATCTATAAGCAGGAGAGGGATTTTCACAGTCCCTGTATACAACACTCTTCTCTGCTCACCCTTAGGCTGTCTGCTGTGTAGATCAGCAGCATTGCTGCCCGCAGGGCTTCACGTGTATGGCTGAGGGGTACTGTCAGGAGGGAGACAGAATAGTGGCTGGCCTGGAGAAGATGCCCGCTCGCCGGACATCTCTGTCCCAAATTGGAGATATCGGTTGTGACCAGCACATCAGCTGTCCTGTGGGGCAGACCTGCTGCCCTAGCCTGAAGGGAGGCTGGGCCTGCTGCCAGTTACCCCATGTGAGTTTCTGCCCACTGCCCTGGGTGAAGGGAGCTGCGTTTTGGGAGAGCATAGCAGTGATACCATGCCCCCACTCCCAGGCTGTGTGCTGTGAAGACAGGCAGCATTGCTGCCCGACCGGATACACCTGCAATGTGAAGGCAAGGACCTGTGAGAAGGACATGACTTCCATCCAGGCCTCTGCCCTCCTGGCCCCTGGCTCTAAGTTTGGTGATGTGGAGTGTGGGGCAGGGCACTACTGCCATGATAACCAGACCTGTTGTAGAGATAGTCGAGGAGGCTGGGCCTGCTGTCCCTACCTAAAGGTCAGTGCTCTCCCTGATTCTGGGGCTGAGTGTCGCTGTGGGGTGGGTTCTACCTCGTCCAGTACTAACTCTCTCTTGACCATCCAGGGCACTTGCTGCACAGATGGGCGTCACTGTTGCCCCATCGGCTTCCACTGTTCAGCCAAGGGGACCAAGTGTTTGCGAAAGAAGACCCCTCGCTGGGACATGTTTTTGAGGCACCCAGCCCCAAGACAGGCACTGTAAGGAGGGGCTAAAGACTAAAGAACTCCACAGCCCTGAGAACCTGTTCAGAGGTTGTCCATCGCTCAGGCCCCCCTAAAGCCCCTCTTCCCCCAGAGTCACCCATTCTGAGTGCCACCCGGTCACCATGGGAGGTGTGGCCTCAAACCAAGACCTTCTTTTGTGCAAAGAAGGCTGAGGCAAAAGCCCCATTTCAAGCTGCCATTTCTTCTGATTTCTGTGAACCTATGGCCAGGTGCTCTTCCAGATCCACAGGTATTGTGTGAGCTTGCTTGTGTGTGTGTGTGTGTGTGTGTGCGCGCGCACGCGGGTTTGCTCCAATAAAGTTTGTACACTTTCTTAGCAGTGTCTGATTTGGTGCTCTGGGGTCCTCCAGTGTCAACATCCTCCATAGAAACACACACACATACGGCTTTAATTAACCTCACCAGCTTTGTATTTTTGTGTCTAGAGCGTCACCATCACATTACCCCCTAGTCCCCAGGACAGCCCCAGCCACCAGCCCTGTGACATCCAAGCAGCACCCCTCCCCTCCCTTAGGGTCCACAGAGATTGCCCCTCCCTTCCCAGCCCTCACCCTAGCAGCTGAGGCTGGGTTGCCCCTCCTGCTCTCCCACGATAGATCTTTCTATGTACAGCCACGTTTATACAGGCACCGCTCCCCACCCCAGCCCTCCTTCCCAGCCCCTCCCATGGGGGACCGGCCCCTCCCACCTCCCTCTGCTTAGAGGCCGATCCTGGGTCCCTTCCCAAGACACTCCCCCAGCACATACCACGGGTGGGCTCAACAGGCCCCTGAGCCCTTCTACTGGCTATGAGCGCGTGCCCCCCCACCCCGCAGCACCCAGGGGCAAGCGCTCTGGGGACCCGCACCGGCGGTAGAGGCGGTGGCTGACCCCCGGGCCGCACTACTTGACGTTGAACACCATTAGCGGCCGCTCCTCTCGCCGCTGCCAAGGGCTCTTCTTGTCGCCAGCCTCGTCGCCCACCTCCGCCCCCAGCTCATCCTCCGGGCTGGTGAGCGAGTCGCGCCGCAGCTCGCTAGCGCTGCTGCGGGAACTGTCCCCACGGCTGCGGCCCCGGCCCCGGGGTACCGTGGCTGCCCGACCCTCGGGCGCCACCACCTCGTCCAGTAGGGGCGTAAGCGAGTTGTCCTCGGGTGAGCAGAGGCCGGTGCGGCTCTCGCTGCTGCTGGGCTCCGTGTCCTCGCTGAGCGCCAGGCGCGGCGGCGCGGGCGGCGGCGGCGCGGGCGGCTGCGCGCGCTCCCGTTCCTCTCTCGGGGGCCGGCGACGTGCGGGCCGCGCCTCGTGCACGTCGACACCTGAGTCCAGGCTGGCATCGGTGCTACGGCCGCCGCCGCCCGCCTGAAGGTCGATGTAGGAGTGGCGCACCTGCGAGTTGGAGCGCCCGTCCAGGGACACGAACCAGGCGCGCGGGTGAGGCTTCACGCCCAGTTCCAGCAGCTTCTTCTCGGTGAGAGCCTGCAGCTCGCCGTTGAGCTGCGCCATGGTGGACTCGTTGAACAGCACCGGGATGGTGACCGAGCCGCTGACCGGTGCGGAGCGCCCGCCGCCCCAGCCCTCGCCGCCGCCGCCGCCGTCTCCCCCCGCACCCGCGTGGCCCTGCATCAGCGGGCGCTGGGGGTCGGGTTGAGGGAAAGGGCGCGCGGGGCCGGCGGCAGAGCCTTCCGGAGGGGTGGCCTCGTCGCCCACTCCCACGGCGCCCGCCTCGCCGCCCAGGCGTACGTAGTGTGCGGGGATCACCAGGGTGGGCATGACGTTGCGGTACACGTTGTCCTTGAGGTGGTCGATGGAGCCGCAGAAGATGAGCTGGCCGGGCTGGCTGAGGGACGGCGGCCGCGCCAGCTGGTCCACCGACTGCGACAGCAGAAAGTCAGGGGTCTTGCTCTCGGTCGCCCCCTTGTGGCCTAGATAGTGATCGAAGGACGGCGGCGGCGAGGGAGGCTCGTGCAGGAAGGCCGCGGCCCCCGCCGGACCCCTCCGGTACTCGTCCAGGCCGGGCTCCAGCCCTCCAGGACCCTCGATGGAGCGGGCGCCCTTGAGCCCGGCACCGTCGCCGCTGCGAGCACCAGGAGGCTCGGCGGCGGGACGGCTGGCGGAACGCGGTTTGGCACGGAAGAAGTCATCTCGGGAGGATGCTAAGTCCCGGGAGCTGGAGAAGGCCGAGTGTAGGGAGCCTGGGGGCGGGGCCTCGGGGTCTCCCGAAGATGTAGGCTCCAGGGGTCCCCCGCAGATGAGATGGAGTTGAGACATCGACGTGGCCTGATCTCGTTTGTTGTCCGAGGGGCCCGAGAGCTGCAGCTTGCGGTGCTGTTGTCTTGGCTTCAAGCAGCGTCTCCTGGAAAGCAGAGACAGGACCTCAGAAATGCTGAAAGCAAAGGTCTCCTTAACCCCCACAGTTGCCAACACACAAGGGGTGAAGAGGGCAGCGGGGTGGATAGTGGATGATGCCTGGAACATTCAAGATAGATGGGGGGGGGGCTATGTAATGCTTCGAGGCTGTTTGTAGAAAGAGGATAACACATCCAGGAGCTTCGTTCTTTCAGCTTCATGAGGTAAACTTGATATCGCTTGGCGTGAAAACGAGCTAGGAGTGCTTGCTCTGGGCCCCCCCTGGGAGTGAGAGTTGGTATGGTTGGAGCAGCTGAATAGTCTCTCAATGGTCAAGGTCCTGCCATCAGTCACCCCTTTCCCAAAGCCACCAGCCTCTAGGGTCTTAGCTCTTGTTCTGCCATTCTTTCCTGGAAGCTCGGTGAGGATCAGAATTGCGCTTCCTGAATCTTTAGGCCCCAGTACAGGGGTTCTGGGAGAGCAGGTGGGGGTGGGCCCCAGGAGCACTCACCGGCAGTAGTAGATGAGCAGACACAGCAGAATGAGAACCAGCAGGGCTAGAGCTGCCAGGATGGTCAGCAGGAAGATCGTGTGGTAGGTGCCGATGTCCTGAATGCCTGAGGTGATGGTAACCAGCCCTGTGCCAGGCAAGGGCTTAGGATGCCCTTCCTGCCTTCCACAAAGCCTGAGCTCTCCCAGCTTTCCCACCCAGCACTGCCCATTGCCCCACCAATCTCACCAGACGTAGGGGAGGCCATGGCAGCCACCCAGTACCCCAGCTGTGGGGAGACAAAAGTCCAGTAGAGCTGTCGGCCTTCCTTCCGAATCACACCGGTGCCGTTTCGTACCCACAGCCCTGGAAGAGGCCGGAGGAGTGCATCAAACTCAATGCTCTGCTACCTCTAACCTAAGCCCTAGCTCTCCTCCCTAACCACCTGCGGCTCTGCCCCTTTCACTTACCACTCTTGGGGTCAAATCTCCAGGCTGGAACGCTGGTGCCCGCAGCCAAGGCACGGGGCTCTGAGGGCACTGGCAGGGACAGATGAATGGGGCCTGAGAGTGGCACCTCCGTCCCATTGCCTGTTAGAAGGTGTACACTCACAGCAGCCAGGGGTATCAGCTCCAGCCAGGAACCATTGCCTAAAGGAAAGGACACTGGCACTAATGGCTAAGTCTCTGGGGGAAGGAAGGAGTCTCCCGTCCACGTCCACATCCGGTACCTGGCCTACCTGAGCTGGAGGCCTCCGTGCCCAGGAAGGCAGGGAAAGCCCGCATTTCCTGCTGGGTGCTGGCGGGTGTGAGTGAAGCCCAAAGCTGGCTGTAGGTGGAGCTGACAGGCAGGCGGGCAGCTCTGCGCTGGAACTGTACCCAGGGCTGGGAGCGGGCACCTGGATGAAAAGCAGGCACTATGGGAGCCTGACCCGGACCAAAACAGAACGCAAACATCCAAAAAAAGGGAACCGCTGGGTTAGGCCAATTGAAGAGGCCGGGGTGATGATAGAGAAATGGGTAACCGTGAACTGTTAACTTAAAGGGACGTGGTACTGAAACCTCCATGTCTGGTGAGTGTAACCTTCCGCAAGTTACTCACTTTCTCTTAAGTTTCCTTATAAACCTATAAAGTGATGAGGGTCTTGGGGCTGAAGAGAAGACACAGTGTCTTAAAAGGGTTGACTTCTCATGCAGAGACCCTGGGTTCTATTCCCAGTACCTACATGGCAGTTCACAACCCACGTATAACTCTGGTCCCAAGGGACCCAACACCCTCTTCTGACCTCCATGGGCTCCTGGATGCACATAATACACAGAAATACACTCAATCACACACACACACACCCGCACACACACATTAATGACAGTCATGTCCTGAGCTAACAGCATCTGCTGAGTGACAGCTGTTGAGTGTTGAGTTAGGTCCTGGTATATGGAATTGACTGAGACAATCCCCTGCCTTCATTCTTATAGTGTACTTCGTATGTGCTGCTTTTTATACTTCTTCTAGAACCTTCTGCTATGATTGAAAGACCTTCTTGTCTGTGCTGGGCAGCTCATTGGATACACATGACTAGTGAGACTGGCTTGGTGGCACACACATGTAAGGCCAGTACTTGAGAGTGTACAACAGGAATCTTAGGCCAGACTGAACTACAGAGTTCTGAGCTACTGTCTAAAAAATAAAATAAAATAAAGAAAGAAAGAAAAAGAGAAAAGTGGCTAAAGAGTGTGGCTGAGGAACTGAGGAATTTTATCTTTTTAAATTATTTTTCCCTACTGGGTGGTGGTGACACACACCTTTAGTCCTAGCACTGGGGAGGGAGGCAGAGGCAGGTGGATCTCTGTGAGTTTGAGGTCAGTCTGGTCTATAGAACAAGTTTCAGAACAATCAGAAAAAAAAAAGTAAATATTTTCCTTTATTTTTATGTGTATGAGTATTTTGTCTGTATGTATGTGTACTACTTGTGTGTAGTGCTCTAAGAGGCCAGAAGAGGGCGTCAGATGCCTTGAGACAAGAGAGTTTGTGAGGCACCATGAATCCAATAGGACCCAAGTGCTCAGAAAAGCAACAAATGCTCTTAAGCACCGAGCCATCTCTTCAGCCCGACATCATTTCCATTTAGATAGACACACATTAGCTTATAGTGTGTGTGTGTGTGTGTGTGTGTGTTGGGGCTGAAGGAGCAGACATAGAAACAGAATTCCAATCCAGTGTGGTCATAGGTAACATTTATTAAGCTTCAAAATATGCTGGATACTGTCCTAAGCAGGCTATGTATAGCAACCCCCTTAATTAGCCTAACAGCCCCCGAGGTATCAACTCCATTTTATAGATGCAGAACTAGGACTTCAGCAACAGGGCCACCATCCTGGAGCCTGGCCCTGTCCCCCTACATCCCTCCACACAAGTCCATCCCTTACTACTAAATGTTGGGACCCCAGCCCACCCTCTGGAGTTTTGAAGGGTAAGGGAGAAAAAAAGTGGGATTGCTTTTTGGGACTTGCAGGAGAAAGGCCCAGTGGTCACGGGCTACAAGGGGGTGGTGGTTGCTATGTTCTGGAGGGTATGGCCAGTTCTCTGAAGAGCTCTGCAATTCACACTGAGAGCTGTAGAGGCCACAGGAGGGCAGAAGCATTGGAGAAACAAAGACTGTTTGGCATTTTAGAATACTGAGGGCATTGGAGGCCCCTCTGGTATGGGGTCAGTGAATCGAAGGTGGCAAACTAGCAATTTGTCAATAAGGATTCATTACCAATTTAAACTGGGGAAGGGTCTTTCCTACTCCAAAGCCCACTGTGGTATAGGTCTGTAGTACTTGCCAGAGGTACACAGAGCCCTCACTGCCCCTTCGCCTGCCAGCTCACCTAGCTCTTCTCCAGCCAGCGGCCTCAGTGCGCCTTCCTGCCTTCCACTCCCGCGCCACAGGGCCTTCTGCTTCTTGTATTAGCCTCACTAGATTTCCCCCAAAGGTGAGGGACGTCACTGTCACCATCTGCCTGCTCTGTAACTCTCCCAGGATTTGCAGGGGTGTCTGTCTGTCTTCCCACTGCCTAACACCATGAAGTGGGCTGTGGGTCTGTTCTCCCCCACCCCTGTGCATAAAAACAAGGGACACTGAGGATTGCTCCAGGCCACTGGGTAGGTGTTCAGCTGCTGTGGACTCGGAACAGTCAGGCACCAGGTAAATGCATGACAAATACATGCAGATCCAGTGGAGATAAACAGGCTAGGGAGGTGGGAATTGGAGGATAGCAACCACAAAAAGCCCCAAGTAAAATGTAAATGTTTATTGAACACCTGTTTTTTTTTTCTCCTCTTAGCACATTTGATGCAATTTTTAAACCTTAATTTGTGATGTAAGTATTATCCTTCCACATCTTATATATGTATAAAGTATGGCTCAGAGGACAACCAGCTATGGTGTGAAGAAGCAGAGAGTCTCTGCATACAGGTCAAGATCAAGGAAGGGAGCCGAGCTATGGATTGAACGGCAGGTTATAGCTTACCTGGAGAGCCTAGGAGGATGTGCACAAGATCCTCATAGAGGATGAGGGTGGCTGGCCGCTCTGGGAGCAGGTAGAGGCTGACTGATGCGTATACTGCAAGAAAGGTGGCCTGTCAGCTCTAGAAGATGCACCCATCATCTGCATCCCAGTGGCTTCGTCTTCCCCAACCCCTTCTGTATGCCCCAGCCCAGGCAGCAGCTGCTGGGAAGATGCCCCCTCCACCCCCAAGGACTATTTTGGGAAGGGGCTGGTGGTGGGTCAGCTGTCCCATCTCCACCCCCTCCACCTGCCTCTGCCCTCCACTCACATGGCAGCTTGTCAACACGCCACGGCACAGAGTTGGTGAGGAAACCCGGGCGGGCAGCAGTGACCAATACCCAAGTGCCCAGGCGGTAACTGAGGGGTAGTGTGGCCACGCCCTCTGAGTCGGTGGTACCAGCAGCCAGCAGAGTGCGGTTCCCAAACACGTCTACTGAGGCGCGGGCCAGGGGCACCAGCTCTCCGCTCACATATACCTGTACCTTGATCAGGATCTCTGTGGGAAGATGGGGTGAAGGGAGTGAGGGTGAGAAGGGGGGACATTGGGGGGAGAGAGATCTTGGGGCTGAATGCAGCACAGTGCTGGGGATCAAATCCAGGCCATCATCAGGGACTTCTATCAGTGAGCTACGCTCTCTGGCTCTGTGCCCAAGCCAGCGGTCCGTGTGGGAGGGTGTGTTACTTCCTTTTCACCAGGTCTAGCCCATGCATGCTTTCACATTTCTGAGCCCAGGCGGTGCCTGGGATGAATGATGTCATCATTACAGTTAACAGCACCCCCCCCCCCACCATTCTTACTGGTTTCCGAAATGAGACTACACCTCACAGCCAAGGAAATGCTATACTTGCTAAAATATGCCCTCAGCCCATTTTGCAGATAAAGACATTGAGGCTCAGAAAGTGTAAGTTCTTGCACTTCAGTTAAGTGAGAAATCTGAGCTCCAAGCCTAGCAGTCTACTTCTAGAATACACATTTTTAGCCACTTGACCATGGAGAGGAAAGGGAGAGAATGAGGCAGGGGAGAATGAGGAGCTTCAGGTCAAGATCAGGGAGGCTGGGAGCTGGATCCCATTTAAGTTCTCAAGAAAGGAAAAAAAAAAAAAAATCAAGAGCCTAAGCTGCCTTAGGTCATCCCTATCACTCACCCTCTCTCCAGATCCTTTCCAAAAATCTGTTTCCCTTCAAATTTAGGGATCTGCCCCAGCTCCTAAGCCCAAACAACTATCTTGATCCCTCCCCTCACGTCTATGGCTGGTCAGCTACAGTCAGTCACCATGGTAACGCCCTCATTCCTCCCAGGAGATCAAGCAAGGGAGCTGAGGCCCTGGTGAGGAAGGGCTGCATGGGAAGCAGACCCAGGCCCAAGGGAAAATAGTGTGGAGGGGCCTGGGAAGGAAGCATAAGACTTCTAGATTCCCCGGCTGCCTGTGACCCCCACCTTAGGGCAGTCCGGCCACACTGGGCCTGAAAGTGAGGAGGTGCTCTGGGCTTGGGTTACTCTCATGGATTTCCCCAGGCTGCCTCTGCTATGTAACCCTTCCAGCGGCTTTCTCCCGCTAGACCAAGCCCCACTCCTGCCTTCACAATCAGTGTCATAGATGAAGGCAGGGGGCAAGCGGGGACTTCACTGGGTGCTGGGTGAAAATCCCGGGTAGAGAAGGAGTCTAGAGCGGGGAGCAGAAGGGGCAAGGGGGAGGAGGTGTGGGCAGCCACAGAACCTCAAGAAGGCGCTTCATGGACAGTGACAGGTGTCTCATCTCAGGCTTCCAATGCAGGATGCCACGCCTGTCCCTGACATCCCATCCAGCTGTTCCCAGAGCCCACCTCCCTCTCCAGGCTAGGTCCGAGTCTTCAGGGTGGGGCACCCACTCCCACTCCGGTTCTCCAAGGAATGGCAGCCTTCTGCCCCAGCAGGAATTCTGGAAAGCTAAAAGGGCCCGACTGCTCCCAGCCCTATCCTAGGCTAGGAACAGCTGGAGAGAGCAGCTGGGGAGAGGGGGCTCAGGAGTCTGAAATTCTGTCACTTGAGGGAAGCCTTTGGGCCTGGGGAGGGGAGAGGCCTGGGTAAACAACACAGAGGTGGGCAGGTAAGGCCTGAGGAGCATCAGTGCCAAGCTGGGAGGTGGGGCAGGTGTCTAGCGCTTTCCCTCTTCCTCACAGCCTGGGCTCCCAGCCAGCTGCCTGAGAGAGCCCCCATCCTGGCTCTATTCCAGCAAGTTCCCTGGGCCCTCCCTCCCCTGGGGTGCAGAGTTTTGTGGGCGGAGCTTCCTAAGACGCTCGGGCCTCTTCTCAGGGAAATCAGGGGAGACTGAGGCACAGGGAAATCTCCCCCTACTCTCAAAGCCTGACATTCCATAAGGTATCTGCATCTCTCCGCTTTAGCCCAGCCTCATTCCAGGAGGAAATCCGACCTCCTCCCTTCATCCGGACCCTACTTCCCTCAACCAGACCCTTCCGCCCCCCCCTTTCCTGCTAGCTTCTGGTGTGTGTGTGGGGGGGTAGGCAGTGTAAGGAACGAAGAACACTGTTTCAGGATGAAGCCACAGGCAGGGGAAGGGACAGCAGTGGGAGGGGGTGGCGCAGGAACCTGAAAGGTGGGAGAGAAAGGCAGGGATGGGGGGGTGCAGGCCCAGAGAACCCAGGAGTGAGCTGTGGAATCAGGGTCTCCGGCTCCCGCCGCAGAGGCCGGCCCTACCCCCACCTCACACACCCATCTCAGCCAGGTTAGGCTCCAAGAGGGTCAGGGTCTCCTCCTTTGGGGGAGAGAGGTGAAATGAAGAGGGGGTGATCTGGAAGCGGGCAGAGGGAAGCGGTGGCAAGAGACGGGCTGGACAAGGACCCAGACACCTGCCCTCTCAGCTGGTACTGCCTACAGCCAGTCAGCCAGCTCAGCATGGCTCCGCGACCACAGCCCTGCCATGTGCCTTAAGCTGGGAATCACAATTATCCCTTTTCCTCAGTCCCCCTTCCTACTGAAGCCTCTCCCTCCAGTAAGAGCTGATCAGTGTTTATTTGAGGCGCCCCAAATTCTAAACCTGGGGGGCTGGCTGGAAGCTGTCAGGCGCCTGGGTGAAAACCCCATTTGAGCAGTCAATCCCGCCCACAGCCTCACCCACTCCCCCTCCCCCCCTTGCAGCCCAGCTCTAAGCTCCCAGCCCCCGTCCGGCCCAGGGTGGCAGCCGATGACTGCGCCCCCACCCAGCCTGGGTCGCGGCTAGGGACCCGCGGGGGCCTACGGAGCGGGCGCCCGCCCCAGCCCGCCCCTGGGCGGGTGTCTTCCGCAGACAATAGCTCTGGCTGCAGCGCCTCGCGGACCAGGAGGGAGAAAAACAAGTCGAAGGAGGCGGTGGCGCCGAGCCTGGAGACCCTCGCCCTCTCCATTGTGTCTCCCCAAGACCCCCGCAGCAAACAGTCCCCCATTCTCTCTCCCAGAAGCACCGATCTCGGGTCGCCTTCCCCCCACCCTAGGAACAGAATGCACCCTAAGTCACTAGCACCATGAAGAGGGGGCCAGCGGTGGTAGCCGATTCCCGGGCGCAGGCCCACGATCGCTGCCCCTCGCGGCCGAGACTCACCCTGAGGGCTGGGGGGCTCCGGTGGAGACTTGCCGGGAGCCCGGGAGGCGCCGCCGAGCAGCAGCCCCAGCAGCGGCAGCAGCCGCGCGAGGACGCCGGGGCCACTCGGCGGCGGCATTGCGGGGCTCGGCCGGGCCTTAGCGGTCCATCGCTGCCTCCCGGCCCCGCTCGGCCGGCCCCGCTCAGCCCCAGCTCCGCACCGCTCTGTGCAGCTCGGGCTTGGGCTCCCGCTCCGGCTACGGCGCCCGTTCGGCGCGATTGTCTCCGCCCGGAGCGGCCGTCAGCGCCCCCTGCAGTCGGCGCCCGGCATAGCGGGCCTGCGGGCACCGCCCCCTCGCGGCCCCGCTCGGCCTGCAGCCCACCCAGCAGCTCCCCACCCAGCAACCCAAGACTCCAAACAGCAACGGAGCGCAGCGAGTAGGGGGCGATTCCCCGGGTTGGGGCTTGTGAGCTCTTGAGATGTGGTGTAAAATGGGAGGGGGAGGACGGCGATAGGAAGATGACTATCGCTTACTCCTCTGGACTATGTATGTTTCAAAAGAGTGAGAATCCCCTTATCCCACTGGGAAAGGAGGCTGCAGTCTCCAGCACTGGGAGGTAGATCTGTGGTCGTGTCTGGCCTCTCTCTCACATCTCCCGTCCAGAAACAAGCTAGGCAAGACGTGTTCCTTACAGTTTTCCAGGCCTGGCTCTTTGTTTTAAATAAAAGAGGATAGCCGGGCAGTGGTGGCACATGCCTTTAATTCTAGCGCTTGGGAGACAGAGGCAGACAGATCTCTGTGAGTTCAAGCCTAGCCCGGTCGAGAAGAGCTCCAAAACTACACAGAGAAACCCTGTCTCAAAACCTACCCCCAAAATTAAAATAAATACATATATAAATAAAACAGGATGATCTGAAACTCACTAGATAGCCCAGACTGGCCTTGAACTCATGAAACTCATGGCGATCTTCCAGTCTCGGCTTTTGGAGTGCTGGGATTTCAAATGTGAGCCGCCATGTTCGGTCTCATTTATCCTTTAAAATGGCAGTTATAATAATCTCTACCTAGTAGTGTGGTTGAGATGTCAGGGGCAGGAGTGGCAGATCTTTGTGAGTTCAAGGGTACCTTGGTCTACACAGCCAGTTCTGACAGGTGCATGGGTGTAATAAATGGTGTGGAGGGGCTTGCCTTTCCTGAGTAACAGACCCCCTTCTTCTTCTCAGGAGTCACCTGGCTGGAGAGGAGGAATCGGATCTCTCTCCCATAGAGCATCGCATTGGTTACGGCTTCATGAATGACAAACTGGATGCTCCTGAGTTGCTGAGCCCCACGTTTGAAGGCGTGCCCCAAACAACCCTTCTCTCCTTCCCGGTTGTCACCATCTCTCTGCTTCTGTTCTGCACCAGTAGGTCCTCACCTAACCTCACGCTTAACCTCTGTTAACGAACACTGTTACCTCTTCAGCACAAACCATTACCCTCGAGGAGACCTAGGACAAGGAAGGCCTCTCCCAGAGGTCCCAGCAGGCTTCCCTCTGGTTAAGTCTCTCTACTTCAGGGGACAAAGGCGCCAGAACTTCTCTTCTCCTTCCATCCCTCCCTTCTTTCTCTTTCCTTCCCCTCCCCCACTTCCATCTGTTTCTCTCTTCCTCCTTACAATGCAGCCTTAGCCGAACTCACAACCCCACCCTCCCACTCCACCTCAGACTGGAGTAGCTAGCCAGGATCGCACACATCTCCTTTTTAATAGGATTCCCCATCTAACCAAACTCCCCAGGCCTGTGCTTATGTAACTGATGCTTTTGGAGCCCGAGCACAGGCTTCAGCACTCATCCTTGGTGAATTTCATCTTGTTGGTCTCAACCCAACTTTCCAATCTGTCAGGGCTGCCTAGAGTCTGTTTCACTCACCCATTGTATTACCACCATTGCCACCGCAGCCAGAAGCACAGAGGCTTCAGCCACCTCCATTCAAGGAACTTCTGCCATCTGCAGGTGGCCCGGGGTTGAGGTGGAGACGAGACATCCCAGAGAGGATACCCCCCTCTCCCGTTTCGTTTCATCAGAATCATTCGGGTGCAAATCCCAGCCACAACAATCCAGCTCGCATTTCTCTTGTCTGTAAGGAACAATGCCAAGTGCTTTGCTGGATGAAGATAGGTGGTCTGGGCCATTCGGTTGCAAGGACTGACTTGAGAGGAAATCTGGCTGGTGTCCAACGATCACAGCTTAATCTTTACTTAAATATTCACAGTCACCCAACAGAAACCTGTTCTGGAACTGGCCATGCATGGATGTCAAATCACTGTTTTTGGAATTTTGTGAAGCGAATCCACGTCTGGCTTCCTTGAGGACTTTGCATGTTCAAGGCATGCTGCAAGGTGTGTCTGCTCACCTGCGACTGTGCCTCAATGCCCTCCCCAGCCAGCCACAGCCACAGCCACAGTGACCACCCTCCTTGCCAGAACTTGGTGCCAGCTCAGCACCTTGTCACTGGCAGAACTTTCTCTTCTGGACACAATGCAGTAGTGTGGCTCATTCCTTCCATAGCTCAACTGTCAGAGACCCTCCCCTGGCTACCTAACTACCCTGTAACTAACTAAACTTTGGAAAAAGGAAACTCTGCCAGCACCCACATAGTCCTCTCCTCCCCCTCTCCCCTCTTCTCTCCTCCCCTCCCCTTTCCTCTCCTCTCTTCCCATTTCCTCTTCTTTCCCTTCTCCTCATCCACAGGCTCCTCCTCTTCCTCTATCTCTCTCCCTATCCTGGCACTGTTGGTTAAACTCAGGGTATTGAACACACTAGGCATCTGCCCTCACACTGAGCCCAGCTTTCTTTACTTTTTGTTTGTTTGTTTATGGTTTTGGTTTTTCAAGACAGGGTTTCTCTGTGTAACAGCTCTGACTATCCTGGAACTAGCTCTGTAGACCAGGCTGGCCTCAAACTCACAGAGATCCACCTACCTCTTGAGTGCTGGATTATTTATTTTTAATCTTATAGAAATAGTGAAGCCGGGTGATGGTGGCACATGCCTTTAATTCCAGTACTAGGGAGGCAGCGGCAGGTGGATCTATGTGAATTCAAGGCCAGTGTGGTTTACAGAGCAAGTGCCAGGACAGGCTCCAAAGCTCCACAGAGAAACCCTGTGTCAAAAAATAAAACAAACAAACAAACAAACAAAAATAGTGACCTTTATTAAAAAAGAATTGGGGAGGGGGCTGGAGAGATGACTTAGCAGTTAAGAGTACTGGCTGTTCTTCCAGAGGACATGTGTTTCAATTCCCAGCCCCAATAACTGTCTGTAACTTCGATTCCAGGGAATCCGACACCTCACACAAACATACATGCAGGCCAAATACCAATGTGCATAAAGTAAAAGAAAGAAAGGAAGAAAGAGATGGGAATGGGCAGTACCCTGTGAAAAGGCAAACACTCAAAGTCCCTCTTTTGAGACAGAGTCTAATGTAACCTAGGCAGGTCTCAAACTCTCAGACGCACTATGTGGTTGAAGATGACCTCAAACTTCTGATCCTACCGTCTCTATGAGTTCTGGAATAACATGCTACCACTCCTGCTTTACACAGCGCCATGGACTGAACAAGGGCTCCTTGTATGCAGGTAAGCCCCTTCCTAAGAGCTACATCTCTAGCCATGTACTATTATTACTATTATTATTACTTGCCCAAGCTGGCCTTGAACTCCATAGCCTAGGCAGGCTGTGAACTTGTGACCCTCCTGTCTCTAGCTCCAGAAGAGCTGGGATTGCAAACCTGGCCCCTTCCCTCTATTTTCCTTCACAGCCATGGGTACCAATGATTACACTTTTATTTCGTTCATCTTCTTGAATGTCAGTCCCATGGGATGGAGACTAGCCTTGTTTATTGCTCAGCCCTCAGTCCACTTTGGAATAGTTCTAGCACATGTTATGTGCTCAGAAACCATTTCTTGCTGGGCAGTGGTGGCGAACACCTTCAGTCTCAGCATTCAGGAGGCAGAGGCAGGAGGATCTCTAAATTCTAGGCCAGCCTGGTGTGAGTTCCAGGACAGCCACTACTACACAGAGAAATCCTATTTCCCAAACCAAAACAAAACACCCCAATATTTCTGGCACATATGACTCAACAAACCTCATGGGATTCCTGAGGATAGCCTGACCTCTGCCCCCAACTCCAATCCCCTCAGCTGCCTTCTACTCCTCATCCCCTTTCCTAGCAGAAGACCTGTTTCCTCAGAAGGAATGGCATCAGGGGGACCGCAGGAGGCAACATCTGCTGTCCCCTCCCTGGTGTGACACCATCCTCCTCCAGTTGGGCGCAGCCAGCTGTCTTCTTCCCCTCTTCCTCCAGAGCATCCCTTTAAAGGTCTTGTTGAGAGAAGGGGAGGGAAGACAGGAATGTTGTTTTCCTAAGTCTTGGACTATTTTGAGGTATGTCCCTCCAAAATCATGCAAAATGCTCAGCTTAACGCTGTCCTCCAGGGAGCCAGGCACGACAGCTCATGTCTTTAATTCTAGTACCTGGGAAGTTGAAGTAGATTGATCTCTCTGGGTTCGAGGCCAGCCTGGTCTACACAGTGAGCTCCTAGCCAGTCAGGGCTATATAGTGAGACTGTCTCAAGAGAAAACGAAAGAGATACAAAACTGCCTACCAAGGACCAAGCATTTCTTCTCTGGTGCTCCTGACCCCCATCTCACTGCTCAGTGAGTCTCATGGTCCTCCCTGATGACCTCACACCTGCCACCCTACTGTCTACTCCCTGGCAGCCATCAGCTACCTTGCTGGTAGAGACGGACTCTTATCAAACTGCTTAGTCCCCACAAACATCCCCCGTCCCTCTTTCCTCAGACCCCAAGGCAGTAATGGCGGATATTGCTATCAGCCTCTTTATTAGGCAGTGGGACAGGGGATATGCCCACTGTGCTGGGGAGGGAAGAGCCCATGTAGTAATTTGAACCCATGGAGTTCCGAGCAGGGCCACTGGTCAGGAACAGGACGTGAAGCAGGCACCAGTGTCATCCATCACTCTCCCTCTTCATCTTCCTCCAGAGGAGGTCGATTCCGCTTGAAGAAGCCAGCCTGGGGAGGGGGGCACAGGACCTGGGGTCAGGCATGTAGATAGGGTATGCACCCCAGAGAATCAGTGAGGAAATCTGCTAGACCCAGCTGCCTCAGAACCCATGTACTGGAGCTGGAGAGATGGCTTGGGGGGTTAAGAGCACTGGCTACTCCTCCAGAGGACTGGGGTTCAATTCCCAGAACCCACATAACAGCTCATAACTGCACTGCATGTAACTCCAGTTCCAGGGGATCCAACACCCTCACATAGGCATGAATGCAGACAAAATATCAATGCACATTAAATTAAATCTTAAAAAAAAATAGCATGCAATAAAGTTGCATCCCCAGCATGAGAAGGGGGATTTTTTTTTAATTGGGAGATGTTTCCCCCATAAATTAAAAAAACACAACTACACTTTATTTATTTGTGTTTATGTGTTTGTTTGGAGATCAGAGGGTAACTTTCAAGAATTGGCTTTCTCCCTCTGCTATATGGGTCCCAGGGTTAGAACTCAGGTCATTAGCCTTGTGGGAAGCACTTTTATCCTCTGAGCCACCGCAACAGCCTCTGTGCACCGCAGCTGTCCTAGAACTTGCTGTGTAGTCTGCACTCTCAAACACTTATGATGTCATCTTTGTCTTTAATTTTTCTGCCTGTACATAGCTCACACCTATGTTCCCCAGCACACAGAAATGAGTGACCCCCTCTGGAGCCAGGGAGGGACAAGGTCTAGAGCCTTCAGCCTCCCATCTTGCTCAGGGGAAGGGTAGTGCTTAGTACTGTCATAGCTAGCTTCAGCTGTCACCTTGGCACAAACTTAAAGTCACTTTGGGAAGAGGAAACTAATTGAAAAATTACCCAGGTTAGCCGGGCCTGGTGACACATGCCTTTAAATTCAGCACTCTGGAGGCAGAGGCAGACGGATGGCTCATCTCTAAGTCTGAGGCTAGCCTGGTCTACAGAGCTAGTTCCAGAAAACCTAGGACTACACAAAGAAACCCTGAGTCAAAAGATTAAAAATTACCCAGGTCAAATTGGCCTGTAGCCTTGCCTTTGGAGCACTTTTTAAAAGTTTAATTATTTTTATTTTATGTATAAGGACATTTTGACTTTGCCTGCATGTGTGTCTGTGCACTTCGCACTGCCTGGCACTACAGAAACACGAGGAAGCTGTCAGATCCCTTGGAACTGGAGTTGCATAGGGTTGTGGTCACCATGTGGGTGCGGGAACCCAACTCTGGTCCCCTGGAAGAGCAGCCAATGCTCTTAGCCCACTCATCCTTCCAGCCAGCCCCCTGTGAGACATTTTCCTTATTGCTAATTGATGTAGGGGACCCAGCGGCTGTGGGTGGTGCCATCCCTGGGCAGGCAAGGAAGCTTGTAAGCAGCTGTCCTTCAAGGTCTCGACTTCAGTTCCTGCCTCTGCTTCTCTCGCTGACTTTAACGTGTACGATGAAATAAACCCTTTCCTCCCCAAGTTTCTTAGTCATGCTGTTTTTCATTGCAACAGAGACGGCTGGAGGTGAGCCCTGCCCATATCCGTCAGGAAGTCCTCATTCTGAGGGCAGGTCTGTTTCCTCAGTGGGGGAAGGGGTCTGAAGACCGGATGATTTCAGATGGGAGGGATCGGCACAAGTCCTCAGAAAAAGGATATTCTAATAGTGGCTATGTAGATGAAGACAGGTTCTGTATCCCTCATCTCCTGCCTTGAGACCCCCTGGGAACTCTGTGCTCCCCAGTCTCACCTTCCACATGGCCAAAACCAGCAGGGTGAGCAGCAGCAGACCGCTCAGCACTCCCACCAGCACCCACCAGAGAGGAATAGCCTTCTCCTCCAAGGCCCGAAGCAGCTGTGTCTGCACCTGAGGGCAAACCGAATGTCACTTCAGGGGGCCTGTGACCAGAGAGGAGGATGCCCAGCCAAGCCATCTCTTAGTAACCATACCTCAGTCCTACTGAGATCCCGCCCCTCAACCTCAGACGGACTTCGTCCTTCAATCCACGGAGGCCCCGCCCTTTAGCTCTAGAGAAGTCCCGCCCCACTCTGGCTTGGCACCGACAACTGGAGAACTAGGGTCCCTCACCAGAGCTTGTCCGCTAGGCAAGCTGAGCACCGGCACCGAGTAGGGCAGGGAGGAGACGTTGAACCAGGCGTGCGACTGCAGCACAAACTGCTCCTGCGGCCTCTGAAGGGGGCGGGGGTGACAGTCGATTACCGCAGCCACTCGAGGCCAGGAGGTGGCCGCAATCCAAGCCCGGGTATCCCAGTTTCTGAGTTCCGTCCAGGTTTTGCCCGGGCCCGCCCCAAGATAAAAGGCCTGTGTGAACCTGCTGAAGCCCAGAGCAAACTCCTGCCCCGCCCCCGCAGGCCCCTCCCACCCGCGCCCCACCCCACCTGGCGGAGGCTGGGCAGCCCTAGCATGGCCTGCACTGTGACCATGGCTCGCTGCCCGCGCGCCATCTCCCGCAGCTCACACTCCACCACCGTACAGGGCGCTGAGTCGTTGCAGCTCTGAAGGGGACGGGTTGTAAGTGCCCAGGCCCTCCTGCCAATCATCCATCCCCCATCAATCAAGGACCCAACACAGAGAGCCAGGAGGGTCAGCAAGCGCCGGTCTCTGGCCGAGCTTCAGATGGTTTCTCTACATTCTGTTTGCTCAACATTCCCAGGGATACTGGGACGAGGCTGAAGTCAGGGTCACCCATAGCCTGAAGTACTCGGGTGTTTTTGTGATACTGTTTTGGCTTTTTCTTTCTTTCTCTCTTCCTTCCTTCCTTCCTTCCTTCCTTCTTTCCTTCCTTCCTTCCTTCCTTCCTTCTTTTCTTTCCTTTTTTTAAACAGGGTTTCTCTGTGGAACAGCCCTGGAACTCGCTCTGAAGACTCGGCTGGCCTCCAACTCAAAGAGATATGCCTGCCTTTGCTGGGATTAAAGGCATGTGCCACCAGGCCAGACTTGCTTTGGCATTTCTTTAGAGGAAAACTTAAAAACAAACACCCACGTGTCCCCTAGCCCATTCTGCCAAGTGACAGTCCAGCGCCACACCCTCACCACTGCCCCCTGCTTCCCATCTCCTCTGGCTCCCCAGGGCCCTAGCTGGAGCCCGCTGAGCCTTCTCACCACCAGAACTGGGTCTTGCTGCGCTGGCTGCTTCGGTTCCTGCAGGAACACATGTCTGCGTTTGCGCTGGTGATGGACGGGGCGAATGGGGGAAGGGTTGGGAGTGGGCAGCCTCCAGTCCAGCTGGGGGGACAAGGGCACAGTGAGTTCGCTTCCAGGGTCTGCACCCACACCCTGCTCTGACTGTTGTATCTGTCTCCTCAGAGCTCCTTCCCTCGCCCAGATCCTCGCCTTGAGAGGCTTGGGGGTTGGCTGTGAGGAGCAAAGGAGACCCCCCTGGGGCTTCACGTCCAGGATGTAGAGCAGGTCCGAGGGTTGGGACTGACTGGGAAAGTGGATGATGAGTCGGAGGCCATTCACAGCACCAGGGCCATTGTTGTGGAGCTGTGGGGTGGGAGGGGTTGAGTGCTGGAGGTTCAGCCTGCAGGTTCTAGGACCTCGCTCACCCCAGTCTTACCCGGAGGCTCCTCCCTACCTCATAGGTGTGTTCCACCCTGGGGATCCAGCTGTCCATGCCATCCTGCTCCGGGTCACCTTCTTCTGCTGCCACCACCAGGGACGCAGGGAAGGAATTCCTGCAAGTGCCCAAGCCCCCAGAGTGTGGTGGATCCTCCCAGACCCCTCAAACTTTACCATTTTGTTTTGAGATGCTGGGGATGGGACCCAGGGTCTTCCACGTGCTAATCATACACCGTACCCATAAGCTACATAGCATCTCCTCTCCCTCCTCCTCCTCGTCCTCCCCCCCCACACCCCTTCTGCCATTTCCCCTTCCCACGGCTGGTCTCTCACCCTCGAAGCTCTACTGTGGCCTCAGCCCGGACTGCCACAGGCAACAGCAGAAGCTTACTGTTTGGATTCTGGCTGTTCTTGCTGGAGGAGAGAAGGCGAGAAGGACGGTGAGGGCACCGGCCTTCCTGAGTGGAGCGGATTCTGCACCAGGGTCAGGTAGAGAAAGGGTGCCCAGCTCATTACCTCCTGATCTGAAGCTGGAAGGACACATGCTGCCCTGCTTCTTCCAAGTTCTCCACACTCACCAGCATTCTGATTCCGATCTGGAAGGGGGAAACCGAAGTCACTGCTCCGCTGTCCACTCTGGGCCCAGTCCTTCCACTCCAGAGTCCTCACACCCCCGGGAGCCTCGCCACTCTAGGATGTAGCTAGAGTTGGGAGACCTCCTGACTCCTACCTGAGACCTCCCACACACCTGGCTGCCACTAGGCCCACATCATGGAGGTCTTACCCTGGTGTCCTTCTTCATGGGGTTGCCCAGCTCACACAGTGTCACCCTGGTCTCGTTCTCTTTCTTCTGAGTACAGATGAGCCTCTCAAAGCCCTGAGGAGAGTTCCAGACAGATGGAGAAGAGCAGGGTATGTGTTGTGTGTGTGTGGGCCTGACATGTCTGCTATAAATTACATCAACAGAATAAAGCCGGGCTAGGGGCCTTTAATCTCAGCAGTCAGGAGGCAGAGGCAGGTGGATCTCTTGAGTTCAAGGACAGCCTGGTCTACAGAGCAAGTTCCTGGACAGCCAGAACTACACAGAGAAGCCTGCCTTAAAACAAATTAAACCAAACAAAAATGTGTTCAGGGCTGTCAAGATGGCTCAGTTGGTTAAAGGGGCTTGCCACCAAACTCTGGAACTCACATGGTAGAAGACAGCTGACTCCCATGGGTGACCACCTCCACATGCTCACTGTGGTGAAAGTGTTCACACGCGCACACACACAGACACTGAATGTAATGTGTGTGTGTGCATAATACATGTGTATACACACACACACTTATATATATTATATAACTGTGTGTGGTGGTTTATGCCTATAATTTGATAATTGTGAGGCTGAGGCAGAAGTTTCAACAGTTCAAGGCTGTCCTGGACCAGGTAGTGAGCTCCAGGCCAGTCTGGGCTTCAGCGTGAGACTTGTTCTCAGAAGATAAAAAACTGCTGGGGGGCAGCTCAGTTGGTAAAGTACCTGCTGTGTAAGTATGGAATCCTGAGTCTGATCCCCAAGGCCCACAGAAAAAGCAGGGTATGCGGGCACATGCTTTGTAATCTCAGCACCAGGGAAGAGGAGAAAGGAGGTTCCCTGGGGCTCATGACCAGCCAGTCTGGCTGAATCGGTAAACTTCAGGTTCAGACCGCCATAAACTTGTCTCAAAAAAGCAAGTAAACAAGCAAAAACAAGATGAATGACACTTGAAGAATGACACACAAGGCTGACCTTTGGCTTCCACTGGCACACACATCATGTATACTATTTATTTATTTCTCTGTGTAATAGTCCTGGCTATCCTGAAACTCACTTTGTAGACCAGGCTGGCCTCGAACTCAACGAGGTCCTCCTTCCTCTGCCTCCCAAATGCTGGGATTAAAGGCGTGCAACATCACTGACTGACCATCATGCACACTCTTGCACACTTGTACACATATGCACACACAAACACTGAATTTAACTTAATTCTAAAAACTTCTCTGTAAGTGCCTGGCAACATTAGGGGAAAAGACTAAGCCAGCAAACTGTGTGTGAGTGTGTGTGAGTGTGTGTGTGAATGTGGAAACCAGAGGTTAATATTGGTATCTTTCCCCAATAGCTATGTTTATTTATTTATTGAAGTAGGGTCTCATGGATGTGGCTAGCCCACCTGGCCAATAAGCTTAGGGTCATACCCACCATCAAAAACCCAGCATTAGGGCTCCAGGCTCCCACTGCCATGCCTGGCTTTCCCCAGGGGAAGTCAAACCCAGGTTCTCTACTTTACCAAAAGCCATCACCCCAGCTCCCCAATTAACTGGCTTCCTGAGCCTTGTGGTGGCTTTGTAACAGGGTCCTTCAAATGTGTACCATTCACCAGCATGTCTCCTATGTACATCACACCTAGACGCATTACATCCACAGGCTGAAAATTTCATACATCTTTATAGTAAGGCATAAGGGCAGCAAAGCTTTGGGTGTGAGGCCAGAGTCCAGGCTCTCACACTGGCTGCCTGCTGCCTATGCCCTGGGGTGGCGCCTCACCTCCACATTGCTGACAGCCCGCATGTAATGGGCTCCTAGAGGCAAGTGCACAGCCAGCTCTGCCTCATAGGCTCCCTCACCCTCATTGGCTGCATCAATCTTCAGCTCCAACATGTTGTCAGCACCAATTAGAAGCGGGGTGTCCCCCCTGTGTGTGAAGGGGTGTGTGGTTTAGGGCTAGAGGCCAGGAGGAGAGGGGACTCAGGTAAGGAGTGGGTCTCCTGGGGCACGGAGGGTCAGGGTGGGCAGAGTGGGGGACCCTCACACAGTAGCTGTGAGCTGGAGCTGCGGTACACACAGGTCATCTTCCCCACAGTCCAGGATGATCCGGGTCTGGGGACACAATAGGATGTGTGGGTAAGCTGAGGGCTTGTGAGGTTTAGGGGTCACCTCAGAGCTCAGAGAACAACAGTGGCTCCAGGGGTCCCTTCAGTAGGGGGTGGAGTGTGTGCACAGGGTGGGATGATGCCGAAATTCTGGTAGTAGCAGGGTTTCTGAGTCTACAACAATGTTTGGGGGACACTGAGATTTGGAGAGTTTCATCAGGGTTTGGGGGTCACTTCAAGGTTTCGTGGTTATAACTAATCCCTGATCTTAATACCCCCTTCTTGCTAGTCCCACCGTCCCCTACCTGCTCCTGGACATGGGTTTCTCCATGCAACACCACAGCGGGGTCTACTCCAGTCTCTTCTGGGGGCAGCGACACGTTGAGGCTTAGCACAATAGGGCTCAGCTTGTCCCGGAAGTCTGCCTCATCCTAGCAGATGGCAAGAGTCTGGCTATCCCGTTGCTGTTCCCACACCCTTTGCTGGAACCCAAGGGCTGTTTAAGCTGCCTGCGGAGAGAACCCTGCACACCCAGCTCCACCCGTTCTATCCTGAGCATACTCGAAGGAAGGCCAAGATGGTGTGGCAGGTAGTTCTGTTTTTTCCACCCAGGACCAGGCTCAGGGTGAGGCTCGACTGTTGAGAGTCCAGTAGGAGCACTCGGCGGCCCTGACGGGGCTTCTGCAGGTCCAGCTGCAGCTCTGCCTTTAGATCTGCAGACCGAGCAAGCAGGAAAGATTCCGGTCTCCCTCTAGTGGGGAAAGCCAGATCTCACTTCCTTCAACCCCTCCCTCCAGGCCACTCACGAAGCTTCTGAGGAATGTTGTGCCCCGTGGCTCCCACACACATCTGGATGTTGAAGCTGCAAAGATGAGAGCAGGCTTGGGGGTTGGGACCTCTCTAAAGTCCCAACCCCTGCTAAGTCTGTGACCTCCACCTCCTCACCAGCTGACTGGTGTCTGGCTCTGTTCCAGGACACAGTTCTTCAGGGTGGGATTCAGGGAGTCTTGAACCAGCAGGTGGACAGTGGCCATCACCACAGGCTGAGCTCTGATGGGGTCAGAAGAGGCTCAGCACTTTGTCCCTCCTGACCCAGTCTCCTGGCTAGTCCCTTCCCCGCTAGCCAGTACTCACCTGTACACAGCCACTTTGCTAGCCCCGTAAGCTCCCACTATCAGGTCTATAGGCATAGAGAGAAGGGTCAAAAGTAGCCATTAGAGAAGGCATAGAGCGAGTCTTTATCTTCCAAAACATTCTCCACACCATCAGTCCCCTAGAGGTTCTTCCCCCAAACCCCAGCATCCCAGTCACTCAGACAAGTTAGAGCCCACAGCTGTCCTTCTCTTCACATTTCCAGCAAGCGCTCCAAGGCCTGTCTTGACTGGCTGGATGCAATCCACAGGCACCTGGGTATCCATTGTCATCGATGTCTACAACACCACGAAGGGAGAAGCCAAAGCCAGAGCCTCTGGGGAAGGGGCTGTCCAGGACTTGGGAGGGGCGTGGAGTCAGTCCCTCACTCTGACCCAGGAACACCAGCACTTGGCCCCGACCACTGGGACCCCCATAGGGGGCAGCCACAGCAACATCTGGAAAGAGAGACAGAGTGTGGCTATTTGTGATTGAGTCTTCCCCAGGGGATGCTGACAATCTCCCCTGAGTCTTCTCTAGGGAGGCCCTGGGAGAGCAGTAGAAGGGTGCAGGAGAGAGATCAGTCAAGTATTAGCAACTGGTATAAACGCTCCAACAGTCCTTGATGCCCACCAAGGGAAACATACCGGCGAGATCCCATTCACTCCTGACAATTGGGTGTTGCTCTGTTCACTGTCATTGATGTTAATTGTTTGCTTTTTGGTTTGGTTTGGTTTTCCTGAGATAGGGTTTTCTCTTTGTAACCCTGGTTATTCTGGAACTTGCTATAATGACCATGCTGACCTCAAACCACAGAGATCTGCCTACCTCTGCCTCCCTGTGTTGGGATTAAAGTTGTTCGTGGTATGTCACAAACTGGCCTCTGCTTATCTCTGTAGCTGAGGGTGACTCTGAACGTCTAGTCCTCCTGCCTCTACCTCCCTTGTGCTAGAAGGACTGGTACTGTGGCCTCCACCACACCTGGCTTATGCTGCACTGAGGCTTTGGGCATGGTAGGTGAGCTCTGTATTAGCTCAGCTACAACCCTTCCCTTAATTCCCATTTTAGAAGAAGATTAAATAACCGAGTCCAGACTGGGACAGCAAACTTCTTAGTATGCATGAGGTTCTAGATTCAATTCCAGTAATGGAAGAAAAAAAAGTAGGCCTGGTGTGCTGGTGCACACCTTTAATATCAGTATTCATGAGGCAGAGGTAGGCATATCTCTGTGAGTTCAAGGCCAGCTTTATATACATACTGAGTTCCACGCCAGCTAGGGCTACATAGTGAGACCCCCCCATCTCAAAAGACAAAACAAACTGAAAAACAAATGAAAACTAACTGAACCCTATTTCCCAGATGTTAGCTCTGTTTCAGCTTCGTCATGCCAACAAACTCACAGCTGCATCATAGGTTGATCAGCACCGATGTCTTGAGAGTGTATCTCTCAGTAGCCTCATTATTTTATGTTCTTCTCATATATGACTAGTGTAGATCCAATGCCTGTGTGCTCTATGTGTTCTAACCATTTTCCATTTATCTTCTGAGTTTGTTTACAGTAGGTCTTTGTGATTTTCTTGATCACCATAATCATAATTCCAACAAAAATCTTTAATCCCAGCCTTCAGGACACAGAGGCAGGTGGATCTCTGGGAGTTCCAGGCCAGGCAGGGCTACACAGTGAGACCCTGTCTCAGAAACAAAAATAAATCAGAGGCCCCTGACCACAATGGTGTCCTTGAGTCCTTGGTCTAGTATCTGACCTGGTCTTGGTCTTCATGGATTTACCGACCTTTGATTCTTGCCCCATGGCCAGTATCAGGTCAGCCTGGCCAGTCTCTATCTGGAGTTAATTCAGCTCAGGGTTCCAGGAGACACAGAGCAGACAGGCACTGTGGCGTCCTAATCACCAGCCTTCTTTGGGACCCTTGGGGCCTCCCAACCATCTTGTGGATTTCCTCACACTTGTTTCTAACTTCCTCCAGACTTCCAAGCTGGAGTCTGTTTCCTTTGGTAAGAGTAAGGGACCCTATTGCTCACTCTGTTCCTGCTTCCTCTATGACCTTTGAATCAGCATCTCCTGACCTTGGATGGAGTGTGTGCATCCCCAGGCATCTCAGGGACCCTCATCTGGCTGACCCTCTCCAGTTCTGCACATGACCTGTTTCCCTTTGCATTCATTACACTCCCCATCCTCCCAAATTAACATGCCCATCCTCATCCCATGATGGCTGTCCTTTTCCTTTCACAGTCAATTGGTGAGAGAGCTGTCTGTCTTGCCTGCTGAGTCCTGCACCCTGGCCAGGGATCTTCTGGTCCCTAAGGTGCCCTTCGCTGGTTTCGTTGGTTTTGTTGTTGTTGTTTCGGGACAGGATTTCTCTGTAGTTTTGGAACCTGTCCTGGAACTCACTCTTTAGATCAGGCTGGCCTCAAACTCAGAGAGCCACCCGTCCCTGCCTCCCAAGTGCCGAGTGCTGGGATTAAAGGTGTGTGCCACCACTGCCCTGCTAATTGGTAGGTTTTTTGACAGCCGGTTTTATGTATCCCAAGCTGCTCTCCAGCCTCTTAGGTAGCAGAGAGTGACCTTGGGCTTCTGTCCCTCCTGCCTCTACTTCCTAGGTGCCAGGGTTACTGGTGTGCACCACCATACTGGCCTGGGGTGGTCCTTGTCACTGCCACCAGTGAGCTCATCCTTGCTAAAGGCCATGATGTTTCCCAGTCCCATCTAACTGTTCCTTTCAGGAGTGAGGGTGCCACCTGGCCCATTCCTTCCTCCTGTTCCTAGAGTTTTGGGCCACCAATCTAGTTTCTCTGCCACCAGTCTGAACACTGTTTCCCACAGTCACTCTCTGTGTGGTCCCTAAATGCTCTTGTTTCCCAGGGTTCTCCACTTGCCTCACGGGCTCTGGATCCCATCCACTCTCCCCTGTTCTCTATCACCCCCAGCTTTCTCTGGCGGAATGTGCAAAGTCAATCATGGCAGTCCTCAGTTCTCACCATATTTCCACCTAATGCTCCCAAGCCCTTCAAACCCATCTAACCCGGAACTGAACTACAGACTTCCTTGCTTCCCACTTAACTCAACTCCCATCTCTTCTTGACTCCATATTCCATTTCCCATCCAAGGCCTAAATATCTGTAAAGTCATGGAATCTCTAACTCCAGTCTCCAAACCTGCATATAGGGGTCATCATACTGGGATTGAGACAAATTGTCCTAATCGGATTCCTTGATCTCTGGTACCCACTTTCCAGCCAGCGGGCCACCATCCCCATACTGGGACTCCACTACATCTGCCCTGAGCCCATCCTTTTATTAGGGCTATTAGTCCTCTGAAGGTCAAACACAGCAGCTCTTCTACTCACCATTATAGCCATCCCGGTTGAGGTCACCCAAGGGTGCAATGGCAGATCCAAATCTCCCATAGAGCTGAGTGCCGGTCAGCAGGAGAGTGGGCGTGCCCAGAATATGGGGACCCTGAGATTGCAGAAACAAGTACACACGGCCCACCTCGGCAAGCTTTCGGTCTGCCCTGTGCTCCATATACAACGGAGCCCCCACCAGTAGGTCATCCCTCCTGTGGACCAGATGGGAAAGGTTAGGTACAGCTCAGCTAGGAAGATACCAGGAATGAGGGCAGTTCTGGACCACCCTTGGGACAAGATGAGGGTAACCCCTGCTGCTGGCAGTTGGGTCCTCAACCAGGTAAGGGTAGGGCATTCCTCCTTCTTACCCGTCCCCATTGACATCAGTGACTGCCACTGAGTGCCCGAAATACGAAGCCATCTACAAGATGAAGAACATTTTAGTCTGAGCTTCTGTACTCAGCATCCTCTGTTAGACATCATCCTCACCTCCTGAGAACTATCGTGAGGGTGTGTGTCTTAACGCCTTGATTTGGGTCACTCCCGTGGGGTCACAGCCCTCACCTGCTCTCCATGCAGCTGGTGCAGCTTCTGGTAGTAGGAGTCCAAAATTTCCACCTGCATGGAGGAACACACCCAAGTATGGCATTCATGTTCCTTCTGCTGCTTCCCACTCTCACTGGGAAAGGGCAGGGCATTGTCTAATGTGGGGGAGTAAACAAGAGGACCAGGGTAAGGTGGATGAGTGGGAGAGTGGGCACTTACCGCTCCCAAGGTCCAGCTCCAAGTGGGGGCACCGACGACGTACTCTGTGAAAAGCCAGGCTCGGCAAATCAGATCCTCAGTACCCACTTATTCCATCCTCACATCGGGATCCCCTCCCAGGGGAAATTGTGCAGAGGTGCTCCTGCTCCAGGGATCCCCACCCGCCCCTAATTGCATTCCTTACCTGTAGTGCTCAGATCCCCATCGAATTCGCCCACGGCCAACGAGTACCCTGAAAACACAGGGCAGTTTAGCGGTTATGGCAGCCAGGAAGACCGCGGTCAGGAAAGGAGGATCATGAGAAGCGAGGTTATCAGCACGAACTGCATGATGCAGGTGCGAATACAGAGGCGTGCCCAAGTTCTCACTTGAGTCCAAGGAGAGAAGGGTGAGCCTGTTTGGATGGGAGTTGGATAAGCGTGGTGTAAGAGGCGGGAACAGGGGGCGGGTGCCTTTGTGCCAGGGTTGACAAGCTAAGGTTGGCATAAAGGCACGAACAGGGGCCTGGAAAAGAGTCTGGGAAGCCTGGACAGGAGATGCCGAGGTTACCCTGGTAGCTGTCGAAGTACAATGGGTTGCTGGAGTCGAAGGTGAAGCGCTGGTTGGGAACGTGCCACAAAAGGGTACCCGGGCGGTAACTAGAGATGATACTCGAAATGGGAACCCGAGCCAGGAGACCTAGGAAGGGCACAAGGACAGGAGGTGTGGGGCACCAAATGCCTGGGTCTCCCCAAACCACGGAGATGGGAGTGAACTGGAATACTGGGCACACGTACCTAAATAGAAGTAGCCGCCAGGGGCCCCAAGCACTAGCTCTCCAGCCTGAAAGGGAAGTCCGGGTCGTGAGAGGGTCCTTCCTCTATTCTGGGAACAACCCTAAACCACTTTGCCTGCATATTTTTTATTTGTTTTTAGAGACAGGCTTTCTCTGTGTAGCCCCGGCCGTCCTGGAACTTGCTCTGTAGACCAGGCTGGCCTCAAACTCAAGAGATCCGCCTGCTTCTGCCTCCTGAGTGCTGGGACTAAAGGCACGCGCCAACATCGCATCATTCTCATTCCCCACCACCCCATGTCCTTTTAAGAGGAGTTTCACTTTGTAGCTCAGGCTGGCCTCAAACCTGCTATGCATCCTAGGCTGACATCAAAGTCGCGAACCCCTGGCTCAAGCTCCAGGCAGAGCTACTCTTGCCTGCGACTTGCCTGGGTCACCGCAGAGCTGAAGCCGGCCTCACAGTGTCGCTTGTCTCGGTCTACAAGAGGCAAATGGGGGTCATCCAAGCGGCGGCGCCGGGTGTTCCCGCTTTAGCCAGGAGTCCCGCGTGGGCAAGCAAAATTATGCGGGGTGGGGAAGCCACGGAGGCGGGACTCCCCAGGGGGCGTGGTGCAGCGTAGCAGAGGGGCGGGGCTGTCAGGGCGCGAGGTAGGTAGCGGGGCGGGGTTTGCAGTACCAGAGGGCGGAGCCTAAGGCGGAGCGGCGCTTACTGAAGTTTTTTGAGTAAACCGAGCTCATGGTGTTTTCGCGACAAGGCGAGTACTCCGCGCGACCGCCGCTTTGGAGCTGAGCCACGAAGCAGCCACCTACCGGAGTCTTCTCTGCCTCATCGTTCTTTTCTAGGGCATTCCAGTGCTGCCAGGGGGCGCAGGCCTAGAGCAGAGACACAGGAGAATGGGGAAGGGCGCGATATTCCGACTTTCCCTACCGTGCAGTGACACGGACTTGCTCCCTGTGACCTGTCCACAGTGCCCACCACAACGACGTCATTCCAGGTGACGACCGACGCCCCAAGTCCTTGCCCGGTCTTGAAGGTTTGGAAAGTCTGGAAGCCTACGTGTCGGGTCTCGTCCCCTACAGGGCACAAGAAAGGGAGGAGCTCTGGAGCCCCGCCATCCACTTCCACCTGGCTCCCCCTTTCCAATCCATGCCGGAGACTCACTTAGATCGAAGACCAACGAGGTGCACTTGCCGCCATTGGCCTTCCAGGGGCACAGGTACACGCCGCCAGTCTCCTCCTGACTTGCGCTAAGGGCCCTGGGGGCGCCCACCACGATGGACACACTGCATAAGAAAGCTGAGTGAGCACAGCCCAGGGCCTTTCTATCCTGCCTAATGCCCATCACCCCAGCAGTACCTGGAAGGAGGTTTGGCATAGAAGACACTGGACCATTTTTCCTCACAAATACCCCATTAAGGCCAACCTCTTCTATTTTAGGGGCAGCTGACACTGGACTCCTAGGAAATTCACCTGAGACTAAACCAGTTGGTTTGGCTTGGACAGGAAGGGTTTAACAGTCCTCACTGAAAACGTCTGCTATTCTTCATACACGGATGTGCCCTCACTTCCTCCCAATAAGAACCAGACAAACCTTCTGCCTTGTCAAGCTTAATAGATGGCTTAGCGAGAACCGTTTGGAATGGTGAGGGATGTGTCGAGCTCAAGTGGGGATGTGTGATGCTGACAGAGTTGAGGGTCCTAGCAGACCGAAGTTTAAATCAGTTCTGCCACATGTAAAGTAGGGGTGACATCGAGCAATTGTGCTGTTGGAAGAGTAAATGCAATAAATGTATGAGAGGCATTTAGTATGCCCTCAGCCACATGCCTTTGTAAGAGTGTGTGTGTGTGAATAAACACACAGGATGCTTATTAAATTGTGCCCACGGGACCAGTGCTTGTGGGAACAGCAGCAGACTGAGGAAGGGAGGAAGGAGTTAAACTGTGTTTCAGGCCCTGTGTGTTAACACTCAAGAGCTAGGAAGACAGGAGATTTTTGTTAGTTTATTTTTTCATTTTATATATCAATTCCAGTTCTCCCTCCTTCCCCTCACCTTACCCTCACCCCCCCCCCCAATGAGGAGTCAATGAAATCTGTCCCATCAACACCATGAAGCCTGACCAACTGCCCCCTCCCATGTCTCGGTTGAGCAAGGAGGTATCTCTCCATAGGAAATGGGCTCCAGAATCCAGTTCATGCACTAGGGATAGATCCTGGACCTACTGCCAGCGGCCTCAGAAATCGCCCAATCCACTCACTGCTGCCTGCATTCAAGGGGTCTATTTTGGTTCTATGCAGATTCTGCAGCTGTCTGTCAGTCCGGAGTCAGTGAGCACCCAGTAGCTCTGGGCACTTGTTTCTATGGCTTTCCCCATTATGATCTTGACCCCTTTGTGCATATTCCTTCTCTTCAACTGGACTCTGGTTTTGTTTTTTGAGACAGGGTTTCTCTATGTAGCTCAGGCTGTCTTGGAACTCATTATGTAGACCAGGTTGGCCTCAAACTCATAGGGCTCTGCCTGCCTCTGCCTTCCATTAAAGGGGAATAAAAGCATGGGCCACCACACCCAGCTCAGAGGTTTTTATTTATTTGACAGTCCTGTTATGTGGCCCTGGCTATTTAACTTGTGGTAACCATACTGCCTCAGCCTCCCGAGTGCTGGGTTTACAAGCATGCGCCACCATACTCAGTTACAGAACATCAAAGCTGAGACAACCCCAGGTCCCTCCTGCTCCATGGACAGTCTCTGGATGCAAGCCATCTTGGGAAGGAGACCTGGCCTTTGATGAAATGGCTCTTTTAGGCAGAGGAAATGATTCCTTACACTTGTCCTTGAGAACAGTCGTTACTGTTCCCCAGGCCTGGGCATTCCAGTGTCCATCACAATAAGTCACCCAGGATAAACACAGCTATGAAGATGACCCAGGAATCTTAGCAGTTTGATCTCAAAACCTGCTCAGTGCTGACTGTTAGTAATCCATTACTTCTTTTCAAATATCTATAAGGAGATGAGGTTGAAAATGGAGAAAAGCAAGGTGAAGTGGTTGGGTACTTGTACCTTTGCCAGTCAATTTCAGGTGAGTGACTGAAGGTAAAGTGACTCATATCACTGGCCCTCGGGGACAAAGACGATACCAACCTTAACCTTTTTTGTTCAACGATCACTTCCCATTGGTAACCCTCCCTGGCACCCTCACTGGAACCTGCCTCTCCCCATCATTCCTGACAGGAGTTCCCCCAAACAGACACTAGACTCCACCTTGCTCAACTAGAGAAAGAGACGCAATGAAAGGAGGCAGTCTCTCTCAACACCCATATCTCCCCTGGCGCTCACCTCCCGTGGTTGTCCTTGTGAAAGTCCACTGAAAATCCAAAGTGGCTGCCATTGGGACCTGCATAGATGGTGAACTTCACAGGGTCCAGGTTCAAGGCCCAGGCTGGAGGAGCAGCACCAGGTCCCAAGAACAGCGGCGTCCACTGCAGCAACCACAGGACGTGCCATGTCCATGAAACTTTAGCCATCCTCCCTCTCCCTAAACCTCCTAAACAGGAATGGGCCAGCACTTTCCTCTTCCCTAAAGTTCCCACCACAGCAAGTTTCAGTTTATCAAACTGGAACTCAAAGTAACTGCGGAGCAGCAGGCATGGCAGAAGGCAATAGCCCCTAGATCACATGGTCTGTAGGACCACCCGGAAGTGGGAGGTGCCACCCTGAGGATGGAGGCTTATGGATGAAAGCCATGGCTCATCCCTTTTTTCCCCCAGGAAAGCCGCCAAGACCTGTTTTTTTCTGCTTCTTGGCTGCATTCCTTGAACTATCTCTCTCTCTCCTTCTCTCCCTCTCTCTCCCCCCTCTCCCTCCCTCTCTCCCCCCTCTCTCTCCCCCTCCCTGTCTCCCTGTCTCCCTGTCTCCCTCTTTCTCTCTCCCTGGCTGTCCTGGAGCTCACTCACTCTGTGGACCAGGCTGGCTCAGAATTCAGAGATCCACCTGCTTCTTCCTCCTGAATACTGGAATTAAAGCTTTGTACCACAACCACTGGGTTTCAAAAGCCCTTTTCATCTCCACTGTCAACTGCGCTAGTCCAACCACTGTTCCTCTCTGCCTGAGAGTGTAAATTGGCCTGATCTACTTCACCATGGCCCATGGTGGAGCAGCTCTTCCCTGCCCCGTTTAGATGACTGTCCTCTTGAACACCATGACTTGGCCAGAGGTGGAGGAAGGAGGAAGGAAACTGCTCTTCCCTGATAAGACCTGAGGCTGCCATCGTTCTGAGTATGGCATTTATCCACTTCCTCCTCCTGGAACCTTAGGACAGCCTCAGCCAGCAGTACTGGCCCGTGAGATCCCTTGTTTCTCCATCTTGAACCAAGTCTTAGAGTGGCTACACTGGTGCCTTCAGTACTGGGGGAAGGGTGGTGAATGGATCTTGGCCTAACTAGGGAGGAGATGGGACTAAAATGACATCATTCCAGGGTGTACTGTTCACAGTCCCTGGAATCAAGCACTTCCTGTTCAAGTGGACAGCTTCACTGTTTCTTGGGTGACCTTGGGTGCATCTAACTATAAACACCGATTTTAAGCCAGGTGGTGGTGACCCACACCTTTAGTCCCAACACTCAGGAGGTAGAGGTAGACAGATCTCTGTAAGTTTGAGGCCAGCCTGGTCTGCTGGGCAAGTTCCAGGACAACCAGGACTGTTTACACAGAGAAACCCTGTCTTGAAAAATCAGACAAGCAAAGAAAAAAAAAAAAAAAAAAAAAAAAAAAAAAAAAAAAAAAAGAATCGATTCTGGACGGAGTCCTCAGGTTGGCTCCTTGCCATACACACATGGGTATAGTACCTGATGAGCCTGATGACATTTTTTACTGGACTGAGTATCCGAATCCTGTGAGAGCAAGGGTCCTTCCTGCTGTCCCAGGCCTGAGCTTAAGTCTTCCTAAAGGATGGAAGAAGCAAACAGTGACAAAGTGGAAAGGCTCAAATTCTGAGAAGATAGGTCCTTTTCTGTGGACAAGGGAGGCAGAACAGCGCCATACCATCGGGCTTGTATGCCTGTGACCCCAAAGCAAAGGGATAAAGGAACAGCCTCACCTTCCTTTAGTCTGTAGTTGCTCTTTCTGCAGTGCATGGAGTAGCATGTAAGACAAATGCTGTGTTACTGAGCCATGCACCCCAGGCTTGATCTTTGTCTCTGATTAAATCAAACACTGCCTGATCTCGGCCACCCTACGTCACTCTGAAGTCCTTTCAACTACTCCTTTCCTCTCATACTTCATCACCTCAGCAAAATCTTATTCTCCACTAAACTTAAAGCTCCTTGGATTTTATTCAGTGCGTTCTTCACTGGCCTGTCCTCAGTCTCAAATGTATGGTAGCTGTGCAAAGGAGATATCAGGATGAACACTTAACATGGCCGCTCTGATCCTCTGTCTTCAACTGAATGGTTCCTGCATTGCTGGCACATTCTGTGTAGCCCAGCATTAACTCACATCACATTCCAGTTGTTTTAATTTTTTTTTTTAAAGAAGTTTTCTTTGTGTACCCTGGCTGTCCTGGAACTCACTCTATAGAGCAGATTTGCCTCGAACTCAGAGAGATCTGCCTGCCTCTGCCTCCTGAGTGCTAGGATTAAAGAAGGCATGTACCTGGGGTTTTTTGTTTGTTTGTTTTGGCTTCAGACATTTTAATCACAGTTTAAAATCTATTTTGTGTATGTGTGTGGGCATGTGTGCTGAAGTATGAGTATGAATGTAGTAGGACTACTCTTCAAAACTGGTTTTCTTCTACCATGTGGGTCTCAGAAATTGAACTCAGCAGGTTTGGCAGTTAAGTTCCATTGCTCATTGAGCCTTCTTACTGGGCTTATTCCCCACCCCCAACATCCCTTTTTTGGCCTCTTTTAAAATCAGGGTCTCATTTAGCCCAGAATGGGCTTAAATTTCTGATATTCTGCCTCCATCTCTGGAGTGCTGATAGGACAGGATGCCATCAGTAACCCTAGTTTATGCACTAGAACAGGTTCTGTTTTTCAAGATAGGATTTCTCTGTGTAGCCCTATCTTAGAACTCACTATGTAGACTAGGTTAATTCAACTCAAGAGATCTGCCAGCCTCTGCTTCCCAAGTACTGGGATTAAGAACGCGTACCACCATGACATTTGTTGTTGTTAAGCATGCTATTTGTGTGTGTGTGTGTGCTTAACTACATCATGTGCGTACAAATGTCCATGAAGACAAGAAGGTGTTGGATCGCCTGGAATTGGAGTTATAAGCAGTTGTGATTCTTCATACATGGAGAATCCTAAAGATTTTATTTTGGTTTTGAGACAGCATTTCCCCCCACCCCCACCCCCCTGAGACAGGGTTTCTCTGTGGCTTTGGAGGCTGTCCTGGAACTAGCTCTTGTAGACCAGGCTGGTATCAAACTCACAGAGATCCACCTGCCTCTGCCTTCTGAGTGCTGGGATTAAAGGTGTGCGCCACCAACGCCAGGCTGAGACAGCTTCTTGATATGGAATTTTGGTCTGCAATTCAAGAGATCTGCCTGGCTTTTATCTCCTGAGTGCTGGGATTAAAGGCATGAGTCAACATGTCCAGCTGTCTATAAAGATATCAAGCATCAGGAAATAAGAGCTTAAATAATCAGTTTTAGCAAGGTAGTTCAAATAGGGGCAGAGGCAATTGCTTTCAGGCTTGATGATGTTCCATCTTCAGATTTTACATTACTCCTCTGACCTCCACATGTTGCTAGCATTCAAACACAAAATAAAATCAATTATAAAGAGGTTGCGCTGTCTACTCCTTTGTCAGTTTTACACAGGCTAAAATCATCTAAGAGGAGGGGATCTCATTAAGAAAATGCCTTCAAGCCAGGTGGTGGTGCACTGGCAACACAGATCTCTGCATTTGAGGCCAGTCTGGACTACAGAGCCAAATCCAGAACAGCTGGGGCTACATAGAGAAACCTTGTCTCAAAAACCAAACAAATCAAACCAGCCAACCAACCAACCAAAAAAAAAAACAAAAAACAAAAAAAAAAAAAAAAAAAAAAAAAAAAACAAACAAAAAAAAAAAACTGTAGGTTTTCTTAATTAGGGGTTGATGAGGGAGGGCCCAGCCCAGCCCATTGTGGGTGGTACCATCCCTAGGCTGCAGGCAAAGCAAGACAGTAAGCAGCACCTCTCCATCAGTCCAGGTTCCTTTGACTTTCCTGGATGGCCCTTTTCCTCCCTGAGTTGCTTTGGTCATAGTGTTTCGTTGAAGCAGTAGAAACCCTAGGACAGAGATTTAATGATGAACTGTGCTCCAATTTAGAATATGACACTAGCTGTCGGTGGCTATAAGGGACTGGAGGAGGAAGGACTTTGTGGAAAAACCAGCTGGGTAGGGTAGCACTCTTGGGTTGAAGGTGATGATGCCAGAATCAGGTAATGGTAAGAATAAGACAGCAGAGATGGGCATAGTGACATAAAACGATATAATTCAGCAGGAGGGAGCAGGAAGACAATATGTCAATTTTGAGGTTAGCTTGGGCTAACAAGCTACCAAGGCCATCCAAGGCTACCCGGCAAGGCTTCTCCAAAAACCAAGAGAGAAACAGCAACTAAGTACAGAATCAGTTGCTGGAAGTGGCCAAAGGTAATCCAAAGGTTTGGTCCTTGGCTAGCTGGTGGACTGTTATTCACTAAAACCAGACAGAAGGGAAGATTTGGACTAAAGAGAGGACTGTATTCCTTTGGTGTCAGAACTGGGTCATCTCCCTGCAGAAAGTGGGTTGATAATTGCTAATATCCCCACTTTCCTATTCCATCAGCCTGAGGTCCTAGAATCCCTCAGTGAACACAGTTTGGTTTTGGCTTCATTTAATCAGTAACTATCAAGCATCTATCATGGTTTGGCATTGAGCAAGGTAACACAGGGTGCCTGAAGGTAGTTTTTTTGTTTGGTTTTAAGGAGATAAAAGAATTAGCTTGTCTTTTTTAGAGCACACAATTTTACTGGAAGCAGTGACTAGAAAATGGATGGCATTTGGGTCTGAAAAGCTGATAAACATACACAGGGCTGGAACAGATCCTAGTCACAGGGAAGTTGGCCAGGAAAATGCTGCAATAATCAGATATGAATTGGTATGGGTGAGGTGGAGCTTTCTGTGGCAACAAGAATAGAAATGGTTGACAAGGTCTGGATGAGTCATCAGGGGTGTGAAAGAGGGAGTACTTCCATGTTTTAAGCCTAGATGGCTGAGCCCTTATCAGAACAAAGCAACTGACTTTACACACACACACACACACACACACACACACACACAATGCAGGCTAACTTTATACACACAGGCTATACAACCCTGTCTTTTCTGCTTGCCGTCTTCCTTGCTCTCAGAAATGTACTTTTTATTTTTTTAAATTTTAGATTTTTTACAACTTTTTTTTTTAATGTGTATGAGTGTTTTGCATGCAAGTGTGTCTGTGCACCACATGGGTATAGGAATTAAACCCTGTCCTTTGTAACAGGTGCTCTTGAGCCAACTCTCCAGCCCCTTTTAATTTTCTAACATCCCTCCTTAGAACACACATTTTCATTATGTCAGGCAAACAGTTCTGAGCACTCAACTTTTCTGTGGTAGAGAGCACACGGTGGCATCAACAGAGGGGGAGGAGACAAGACATCACACAACTCTGTGAAAGGCCGAGGAAGAGGGAAACTCACTGTGCATGCCTTCCACGCCAGCTTTCCCTGCCCTCCTGATGTGGCTGAGTAGAGTTTTTGCATTCCAGCATATAGTGGTGGTTAGGGGTTGAGGACAGTAATTCAAGCCTGCTAAAATAGTCACATCTGGAGGTCAAAGGCCACACGAATTTTGTAGATCTTGTAGTTTCATTGCTCTTAAAGAAGCGCACATCATCCACCAGTAGTCTGCCGGAGACCAGGTGGAACGAACACACACACACACACACACACACACACACACACACACACAGAGGGGGGGGGTCTTCCTCAGGCCCTTGGGCAACCTGAGCTCCCTGAAGAACAATTCCAAGTGTCTCCACCTGGTTTAGAAGGATCTACAATAATTACTTCCAACAAGACATTGTTTATTATCCAGTCTCCAAAGTGCCCCAGTCTGAATGGAAGGCAACAATCACAACGGACTCTGCTAAGTTTCCACAAAGCATTGGTTTATTAGAAAGTTCCTTTCCCTCATTTTACAGCATATATATCTCTATCATGTGTGATAAAGTTAAATACAATCTGTTATGCTTATGCTTGTAAGGACAGGTTATTTTGTTTTTTTTTCTTTCCTTAAGTTTTAAAATTACTATTCTGGAAATTGAAGAAACTGCCTCCAGGAAGGCAGAGGTGGCCAGAGTATGGCTCAATCTACAACCTAATGGGAAGCAGCACAAAATGTTAATACTGTTTTATTTAAATATTTACATGGGCTGAAAGCAAGGAAAATGAGTCCCTTCACTTCAAATCGATGATTTCATTTTTCCAGGGCTAGTTATCCAAAAAGTGATCCTTGTGAATCAGACAAGGACCGGACTGAGCAGGTGGGGGGTAGGGGTGGGATGGGGCTCAGCCAAGTGCCATTTGCCCAGTACTTGCTTTTTATGAAGCCAAAACCTCCTCCTTCTGGGGGATCTGAGGCGGCTTGGATAGGGACCCTAGGCCTAGGCAAGTAGGGGTTGTTTATCTTGTCGGCTGGCTGAGACCAGCAGAGCGCTAACAGAGGAGATGAGACCTGCATTACAAGCACCTTTGGGTCAGAGTGTTACTAGGGCTGAGAGCCTGGGTGAAGGCAAGAGGGGAAGAGGGACTGATGCACTTCTGGTCGGTGTCATGGAGAAAAGAAGAAAGGACCCTATACTGCTAGAACCGAGCTGGGCAGACGGCACAGAACTGTAAAGCCAAAGCCCTCCATGAACCTACAGATATGCTCATCTCCCAACAAAAAGAGGAGAAAACTGTCCCAAGTCTATTATCCTCTGGTCTACTTCTATGTTAGTTTCTAGCCAACCCAAAAGGCACATTAAAAAAATTGTCAGAGGGGGCTAAATACTAGGAAGGCAAATAGACTGTCCAGAACAAGGTACCCAGGGAAACCAAAGGGTCCCTCTTCCCAGACAACTACTAAGTGTGTGTCACTGCTTCCAGAGAACAAAGCTGTTGAATCAATCTTCCCCTCCTCCATGGAGTCTACTGTTTCTCTGTACAACAAAGCATGTCAGGGAGACCACCGCAACTGAGCATCCTCCTGATGCCTGCAGCTGCTTGCTGCTCACTAACTCAAAAATCCCAGTGCAGGATGAACCAATTACTGCAAATTACTTAACATTTGTCCCAGAAAAAAAAAAAAAAAAAAAAAAACAAAAAAACAAAAAAACTTAACATTTTTATAGTTCATAACTTCAAAAAATACAGGAGCTTGATAAAATATACATGCTTAGTCATTTTTGCATCTAGCAGAAAACAAATACTTTATTATTTATTTTTTTAACTTTATAACCTTTAAAGTTTCTTAATTCAACTAGGGCAAACATATTTACAGAAAGCCACCAGAACAAGGATCACTTAAAGAGCTGGATGTAAAAAATATTATTGCAGTATACTACAAATACGGAACCTTTTTTAATATGGGCTACAAAAAGCAGCATTTATGTTTAGAGTTCAGTGCAATTTTACATTAAAAAATCCTATAAATTAAGAAGAAAACACCAACATAACAGAAGAAAATACACCCTCCAGACATGAGCTCCTCTGTGGGAAGCAAGTGGGTGACTACGTTCCGTGTAGCTTCTACTCATGACAGGATCTTTTCTGGGATGTGTAGATGCCTCTTCTGGGATGAGGGGCACGAGGACAGCAGTGCCACACGTGTGGCTCTGTTTGTAAGGACAATGATCAAATTGCAGCCTGAGTTGCTTTTGGTTTTAGGTTTTGCTCCCTCTTCCACCTCACCCGGGACAACACGCCACCAATGTTCAAAGACACTGCCCAAAAGTGGTGGGGTCTCCACCGCTGAAGACACAGCCTGGCCTTCCTCGTGGCACTGAGAAGGCCAGGCCAGATGGGCCCATGGCAAGTGCTTTGGTGACAACCCATTAGAGGAGGAAAACACTTTAAACTTACAGAGAGGGAAGAGCAGAGGATTAGAAAGTAGAGGAAGTATCTATATTCGACAGTCTGCTGCAGAGGAGTGTGGGTAGCACGTACTGGTGTTCCCTAGCTTAGAAACACAGGAGGAACTAATAGAAAGGGGGAAGATATCCCTGATAGTAAACCCAAAGCAAACCTCAAATCTAAATCCATCCCTGCAAGCCAAAACTCATTTCTTTGGCTGTCAAGACACTGCCCATTCCAGCTTTTTACTTGCTGGTATAAATGGCTCAACACCCCCAAGGGAAGAAGAGGTCACCTTCCCTGGCCCAACTTAAGCTTACAATTCCCAACTCAAGTACCATGGCTGGGAGGGTGCTGCAGGTCCTGACCTGAGAAGATGGGGTGAAGAAGAGGGTGAAGATGGAGAGCAGTGGCAGCTGCTGCAGCAGGCCGTGGTGCAAGCAGGGTAGGGTAGAGGGCAGCATGTGGGACAGGATGGAAAGCAAAGGGTCCAGGATGGATGGCTGAAGCAGGAATTATATGGATAGGGTGGCTAGCAAGAAAGGTGGCAGGGTGGCCAGGGATGATTGAATGAGTGAGGTGGGACAAGGAAATAGGGGTCAGATGGGGCTGGGGAATATGATGTACTTGGGCAAGAGGCTGGGGGTGAGGATGAGGGTGAATGCCAATGGCGGCAGCAGCTGCTGCAGCATGATGCTGTAGGATGGCATGCTGAACAGTTGTGATGGAGGTGGCAGAGGCTGTGGCTGGCTGCTGAATGTGGATGGGTTGTAGGGCTGGTGTGGCTGGGGCCAGAGCTGCTGAGGTTGGAAAGGCCTTCACTTGTTTGGCCAGAAGCTGCTGCTGGATATGCTGCTGTGCGGCCTGCTGGAGCTTACTGTACTTCTCCATCTCCTCAGGGGTGAAGGTGATGGGCTGGCTCTCCAGGGGAGCCAATGAAGCATCCTCAGTACCATCTGTTGACTCAACACTAGGCTCTCCACTGGGAGGTGCATAACTGGGGAAGTGCTCAAGGTCTGGGGCTATAGGCAGCAAGCTGGATTCCACAGGGCCAGGTTGACTGCCACTATCCAGAGACTCCAGGGTATCCCCATCACTGGGGTCAGGGAGGTAGTTATGGGAGATAGCCGGATCCCCAGGATAGCAGTCCGTGTGTGCTGGGGTGCCTGGCGGAGCCACAGAGTGATCAGCAGTAGCTTCTTCAGACTTTGGCTCTTCTGGGGGAGGGTCTGATAAAGGACCAGCTGCTTCCTCTGAGAACTGATGCCCAAATGGAGCATCATTACTCCCTGGGGACCCTTCTTCTGGCTCTGACTGTTCTTGATCTTCACCCCTTTCCAAGCCAGACTCTTCACATTTCTTACTGGGCTTCCGGGTAGTGGGAAGCTTCCCTATCAGTGGAAGGACAGGCTTATTACCAAGAGAAGGGGGGAGCTTAGGCCCGAAGTAACCTTGTGGGGGGTTCTTGTACTTGAGCCCAGCCTTATTAGGGGTGACCAGCACCTCCTCACACACATTGGGTTTCCTCTCCACTTTCCTGGACTGGATCTTCTCTAGTAGCAGTCTGGCAGTGACAGAATTCTTATCTTCAGGACTGCAGTCACCTTCTGACCCCTTTCCTGTGCCAGTACTGCTATTCTGAGAGGGTAGGCTTGTTCCTTTACTGTCATCTCCTCTGCCATCTTCTTTCTTTCCAGGACCTTCTCCTCGACCTGATCGGAAATAGTGAGGAGACTGAGAGCGGTAGATCTTTGAGCGAATGAAATCCCGACGGCTGGAGCGCCTCTCCTCCGGGCTCTCGTGACCCCACGACCCCTTTCTGGAGCCTGATCTTTGAGAAGGGCTCCTGGTACTGCGGCTGCGATCCCGGCTGTAGCTCCGGCTTCGCTGCCAGCTGTGGGCTGTAGTGCTGCGACTTCTCCTCTTGCTTCGACTGCGACTACAGCTGCTGCTGCGGCTTCGGCCCCGGGATCTTGAGCGCTCCCTAGTATGACTCCGAGATCGGCTTCGGGACTGGCTGCAACTAAGGCTATAGTCATCATCAGATGATGAGTACTTATGTCGTTTGGACCTGTGCTTGGAGCTGGCATAGTCTGAATCATCTGAATCATGAGAGCGCTTGGAGTGCCTTCGTGATCGGTCACTATAGTCACTGTAGCTATCATCTGAGTAACTGTGCTGTCTACTATAGCAGCTCTGGTCTGAAGAAGCATCAGAACTGCTTGAGTAAGAACGCCGGGAGGAACGGTGTGAGGAATGGCGATGGCCGGAGCGAGAGCGGCTACGAGAATGCTCACTGCCTGAGTCTTCATCCTCCTCTTCCTCTTCTTCCTCCTCCTCACTGTACTGAGATGGAGACTGCTGGCGCAGCCTGTGAGAAGAGGCATCATCACTGTCCTCATCGCCACTACTGGGGTGGCTCCGGTGGCTAGAGCGGCTGCTATGTTTGGTAGCAGCTCTCCGTGGGCAGGATGAAGCTGGAGGCTCACCTTTCTGTTTCCTCCCACTGTGATCTTGGGAGCTGCTGCCACCTCCACCATCATCCTTCTTGCTACTATTTCCTTCTTCGGCAGGAAGGGATCTCCGCTGGGAATCATCTTGGGCCCGGCGCCTTCTTCTTGGTGGTGCAGGGCTACCACTCCCAGGGGGTTCTGGTTTGGGTCCTCGTTCAGAATCAGCTGGAGCTGATGACTTGTTCTTCTTTCGTTTTCGTTTTTTGCGCTTCTTAGATTTCTCTCCAGACTCCACCTTAGAACTTTTCTCTTCCATGTCAGCCTTGTGTTTCCGTTTGTGCTTGCTGGATTTTTTGTGTTTCTTTTTCTTTTTGTGTCTGTGGGACTTGCTTGACGGTTCTTTCTTGCTAGGATGGCTTCTTCCTGCGTCTTCGGTCTCTGACCCATGGCTCCCACCAGGCTCCTGCTTGTTCAAGCTGCTACAGGCAGTCTCTGCAGCAGGTTCCTCTCCCTCCTTGCTTTTGACTAGCTCTCTTGGATCAAGGCCCTGGAGCCGACCCTTTGAGGAGCCTCCATCATCTTTTGGTTTTTCTGTCCCTTTAGTTCTGGCATCTTTGTTTCTTGAAAGTTTAAAGTCAAAGTATAAAGGATTACAACTGTAAGAGATGGAAGGTTCTGCTTTGGTGAAAATCAATAGTTCTGATGGCCACTGGAGGGCAGTGCTTTCATCCTTGCTCAAAACTGGAAAGAAGGGACCAGTGGGGTGTTTGGGTCCTTGGCCTGCTGCCATCACTGAGGTGGCCTGAGAAACTCTAGGACTGGACTCACACACCTGGCTCTCTGGAGCCTCCTGACTCTGCACACTTTGCTCACCTACACCTCCTCCTGAGCCCTTCTTAGTCTCAGTTGTGTCTCCAGGTTCTGAAGGCTCAGCCACAGTGGTTTCCTTTTGTGGCTCGGAAACTTCATTAACCATCTTTTCTGCTCCTTGGCTTGCTGCCGCCTTGGTGCAACCTTTAGGCTTGGGAGAGCTGCTTTTTTTGTTATCTGGGGCATTCTTTGAGTGAGTACTATGATCACTTTCCATCTGTTCACTGGCTCTCATAAAGAGTAAGAAGGGAAAATTAGGTTTGACTTTGCAGTGTGCTGGGGGAATGTAGTGGTAATATTCTGGCTCTGTAGCTCCGGCTCCTTCTTCCCGCTTCATCTTTTTCAACTTGGACAATGTTGAGGCAAGGGACCCTCCATCCGGAGGGTCTTCATCTTCTTTCTTTCCATCAAGATTACCACTCCCATCAGTATCTCCCACCTTCTGCACCCCTGGCTCAGAGCTCTTCTCATCAGCTTTTGCTCCATCTTCAGGGGTCCCTTCTTCTGCATGGTCTTTGAAAACAGATGCTATTGATTCAAGTTTGACAGGAGCCTTCTTGGCAAAAGAAAACGACACTCCCAATTTTTGCAATGGGGGTCCCAGACTATTCTTAATGCCAAAGCTGATACCTTGGGAGGCTAACCCAGGAGCCTGTGGCAATCCAGTGGTATTGGTAATCTGTACTGCAGTGAAAGAGCCCCCTTTATCCATGGAGAATTCAGATCCAAGGCCACAAGAAGAAATGGCACTTGCACCACTGTTTGCTGATGACTCATCTTTATCCTCATCTCCACCATCTTCATCGACAGCCACTGTGGTTGGTCTGAACATGGGACCACTTCCAGGAGCACTACAGTGGTTCAGAAAGTGGAAAAAAAAGATAGGGTTAGAGTTATATATCTTTCTTCTTTGTTCTTCTATGTATCATAATTAGGTCTCAAAGATGCAGAGTAGCAATGTGCTGATGAATGGAACTTTTGGAGCAGAGCTAGGCAAAGTTTCATTTGATTAAAGTAGCATGATAAATTTCCAAGGCCAGTTAGCTATTGTTACCTCTTAATCTATCTGCCCTATAAAAAAGCTTATCTTACAACTAAAAAAAGTTTTTAAATTAATTTTAATTTATGTACACCGGTGATTTTTTTGCCTACATGTATGTCTGTATGAGGGTGCTCGATTCCCTGGGACTGGAGTTATAGACAGTTGTTGAGTTGCCATGTGGGTACTGGGAACTGAATCCTGGTCCTCTGAAAGAGCAGCCAGTGTTCTTAACCACTGAGCCATCTCTCCACAACTCCAATTCTCTACCAGTATCTTCTCACAGTTTCTGCTTTAATCTGCTACTAGTCTTTTTTAATTGTAATTTCTTCATTTCATTTCATTTCATTTCATTTTATTTTATTTTATGAGTTAGAACCGGAGAGAGTGGGTTATCTCCTTCCATGTAGAGTTGGTGGTAAGTGTCTCAAGTTTATTTTCAATTTACTTTATTTTTTGAGACAGGGTCTCACTATGTAGTACTGGCTGACCTAGAACGCATGTATACCAGCTGGCCTCCAATCCAGAGATCTGCCTGAACACTAGGATTAAAGGTGTGTACCACCATACTTAGCTCAAATTTTATTACAGAATGTACATATTGGTTTGTTGTTTTGAGGATGTAGTTATGTAGCCCAGGTTGGCCTTGAACCCATAGGGCAATCCTACTTCCTTGGCCTCCAGAAGGCTCGTATTACAAACATATACTACTCATATGCATCTTACATATGTATATATTCTGAATTGAACATAGCCAGAAACCTCTGCTGGATTACTCTGTGGTTATGTTTGTTTTAGAAATTAACTAGTCTTCCCTACATCCTGGATACCACATCTGAATTCATGTTTTGTGATGCATCAGTACTCTTTAGTCACAGAAGTAGATATCTGTAGACCACAAGCAGATACATGATAATGTATATTGTAGTGAACACATCCCTGCCCCCGCTACATTATGATAAAATTTAATTTATAAGTCTACACACCAAGAAATTAACCACAAGAACAGAGGAGTTATAATACCACACTATAATGCAAGCTATGGGAATATGTATTCCTTCTCCCCTTCAATGGGCAGAGACTTGACATACTAAATACAGGGAGGATTCATGTTTTGGGCACTATAACACACATCTAGTACACAACTTAAAACTTACTATGTATGTATGTATGTATGTAGGTATGTATGTTTTCAGCACAGGGTTTCTCTGTGTAGCCCTGGTTGTCCCAGACCTCTTTCTATAGACCACCTTGGTCTATAGAAACAGGGATCCACCTGTGATTAAAGGCAAGAGCTTTCATATTATAGCTAGTAGTATAACTGAAGGAACAGAAAACAAACCCACAGGAACAATTCTACTTTCTGGGTGCCCAGAACAATGTCCATGAAAAGCAACCTTCCAGCTCCCATGACAGGACTATAGAAGAACTTTTTTAAAAAGCCAGTGTTGACTATATATCTTGCTAAAAATTTTCAGTGTATGGGCTACAAAGGTATCTCCTGAATTATGAACTCAATAAATAAAGACATTTAATTATATATTCATAGCTATGAGCTCTTCTCACCTTGGGGGTCAAAACCCCCAGATACCATGGTATGTAGATTTTACTGTACATGCTGCTACTGTTCTAAGATGTTAGACAATCAGACATGGAGACTAAGACATTTGTATTGTGGAAAAGTCTACCTCATACCAACAAATGATGCTGCTTCTCATGGCAAGGGCCGAAGCAGTAACCTACATGATATGATCATCCCTACTTGGTTATCTTTTAACTGCTAATTTATAAAATGAGAACTAAAAGTTGCCTCTGAAGAAAAAGATATAATATGTCCTGAAACAGAAAGTAGCCTGATGTACATCTTTCAGGGGGACAGCCTTGGGACTGCCCAAGAGAGACAGGTTTACTATATAAAGAGTTTCAAACGAGGCTGTGAGATAATTCAGTGGATAAAGGTTTACCATGCAAGCCTAGTGACCTGAGTTTAATCTTTGGAACCCATGAAAAGGGGGATGAAGAGAACAGACCCCAAAGAACTGTCCTCTGTCTTCCATATATAATGGCATGTGCATTCATGCATATGTACACTCACACAGCAAATAAAATTCAAAAATCTGTAAGATAAGAAATTCCGATCATTTTTCTTCCCCAATTCCCACTTCTTTTTGGGTCCTTTTTAGAACAGAAAAACAAAAAACCAAACAAATTGAACACAGGGTGGAAATCAGAAGTATAGGATAACAATGAATTAAGGGTAAGGGTGTGTGTGTGTGTGTGTGAATTGTGGCCTGGCAAAAAAGTACATGCTCCCTCTTCTGGGGAGTGACCCTAATACATAGATGCATACATATTTCACATGCTAGTGGTGTTACACTTTTGAAAGTAAGAGTGGACATTCATAAACCAAGGCTCTGTGTGTCTCCCCCGCCCCTGAAATTTCTTCCCCTTTTTCTTCCTTCCTTCCTTACTTCCTTCCTTCCTTTTTTTTTTTTTTTTTGATTTTTTGGGACAAAGTTTGTCTGTAGTCTTGGCTGTCCTTCAACTCACAGAGTCTGCCTACCTCTGCCTCTTGAATGCTGGAATTAAAGGCATGTGCCACCATCACTGCCTAGCCCCCTCTCCTAATTTTCAATGTTTATCTTTTGAATTTTCCTCCATGGTAGAGATGGCAAGGTGATGGGAGATGTCTTTCTGTAAATATGTTTCTCATACTAGTTAATGAATAAAGCAATGTTGGCCAATAGGAAAGCAAGATGGGCAGGACTAGGAGACAAGGAGGAAAGAGCAAGTAGTAAGGAGTCGTCAAGATGGAGAGTCTGGAGAGAGCGGGACACCAGCTGGCTCTCTGGTAAGATGAGACCATGTGGAAATACATAGATTAACAGAAATGGGTTAATACTTAAGACAGAGCTAGCCAATAAGAAAAAAGTAACCGGCCAACAGAATTATATCTAATACAGTGTCTCTCTGTGTATTATTTGGGGCTGGCATGGCGGCGGGACAAGACCAGTGGCGGGCTGAAAATATTATTCTTTACAGCAAGGTGCTCTATCAACACCTGATGCCCAATAAACTTTTTAAATATCAAAATTTGTTTATTTATTTTTAAATTTTTACTTTCTTTTTGAGACAACAGAACTCATATAGAGCTGACTGACGTCAAACTTCCAGAGTTCTGCCTGAGATACAATGCCCCTAGTCAGCTTCCAGCTAACTGTATAGTTTTTAAAAGACAGTGACAATACTTGACTTAGAATGCAGACGCCAGGATGTTAGAGTGGTAAAATATGGAGTGTTGTGCTCTTCTACCAAGGGTGTGCTGGAGAACTGGAATAGTAATATTGGTTCCATTTATTGATTACTCATTTCCAATGTGCTAGCAAGCATCTAATGGAGTCAGTCAGTCAGTCACTCTTCAGGACAACTCCAAGTGCAGTTCTCCACTTTTTTCCTTTCTCTTTTTTTCTATTCAGACAAGTTCTCAGGCTGACCTCAGACTCATTACTCAACAAAGGATAGTCCTGTCCTTCCAGTCCTCATGCCTCCTCTACTTCCTTAGTGCTGGGATTACCAATACATGCCAACATGCTTACATGGTACTGGGGAACCAACATTCCTAGGTAAGTGCTGAGGTACATACCCTATCCAATTTAAAAATTGTTGCAAAGATTTTTTAATTTTTATGTCCGTGCGCATGCATGCACACCATATTAAGTGCCAGTGCCCCTGGAGGCCTGATAAGATCCCCTAGAGCTGGAGTTACAGATGGTTGTGAGCCACCTCACCAGTTCTGGGAACTGAACTTGAGGCCCCTGGAATAGCAGTAAGTGTTTATAACTATTGAGTCATCTCTCTAACCCACAATTTAAATATTTTCAAAAATAGTTTTCAAGATAGGGTAACACGCTTTAGTCCAAGTTGACTTCAATTTTGCAGCAATTCTCTTGCCTTAGCCTCCCAAATGCTAGGATTTTAGGTATGAGCTACAACATCCAGTGGTTGAACAGTAATTTTAAATCTTAAGGATTCTACTCATCCACAAAAACACTCTTGAGATAAAATTTCCTTACCATTCAGCTTGTTTTCTTTGCTCTGCCAATTCGTGGAGCCTCCGAAGGGCTTTTTCTTGCTTCTTTTCATCTTTGCGGGATCTTGAAGAGACATTTCGGGCAAACTCTCTCTGCTTGAGATCTTTTAATCTCTGGATTAAGAGAAAGAAAGAAATAGACAGTGAGTGACTTTTTAAGTGATACACAGATGTGAAGGTAACACTTTTAAAATATTTACCCTCAACCAATGTTATAATACTATCATGGAATATACTATTATATTCATAAGGTACCCAGACAAAATGGCTAATTATTTTGAGTATGACACTTGGATACGGGCATTTGTAATTAGGACAGCATGTCATTTGCCTTATTGTACAAAACAAAATGATTTCAGAAGCAACAGGCAAATTTTAGAATATCAGGAAGAAAGAAGAGAGACCGATCACCTGCTCTTCCAGGATGCAGAACCAGACAAACAAATGTGAGATACATTATAGCAACACAGGCCGAAGTGAACAGAAAGGGGTTAGGCTGGTACAGAAAATTACCCAAGGTATAAGATCTAAAAAAGCAATGTACAGCTTACATGGGGATGGAGGGCTTATCAAAATCAGAACAAACAGAAATACTTCCCCCCCCACACCATAAAATAAAAGGTGTCGGTGTTGTTTGGCTTCAGCACTAACAGAAGTTTCCTATAACTATTAACGCCAAGGGAGGTTTCCAACCCTAGCATGCTCAGACTCAGCCTGACCACTTTCACCCAGCCAGTCTGCTGAAATGAACAAAGTTATGTAGTTTTTCATTCTTTCATAGCCCTGAGAGGAATACCAGGGATGAAGAAGGAGAATACAGCAAAGATGAAGATTTTGTTACTTAAACAAGTAACAGAATGGGTCTTTTATTTCCAGATGCTACTGTGTAATTTTCCTCAAAACAAAAGAAACAAAAACTAAAGAAAGAAGTGTCATGAGACAGGCTGGTGACAGAGTCCAGACACACCCATCTGCAACAAAGACAGTGCAATACAATAAATAATATAAAAAGTGAAGCAAGGCCTACCCATTAGCCTATGCTTTTCCAACAGCATAGGAAAAGGGAATTGACCCAATATAAAGTGGACATTGCTTTAGAAAGGCATGGTGTTCAACAGACAGGAATTTTCTTACCTAATATTCATGAAATGTATTTCAAATCTTTTAGAATTGGGAGGGGGAAGGGAAGAAAGACACACACACACACACAAAAGATATATAGCTAAAGACACTATAGAAAAACTCACTCTTGTGATCTGGGCTCCCAAATTAGAAGGATTTGCTTTCAAAACATCAGCTGAAAATGTCACATCACAAAAAAAAAAAAAAGCAAAAAATAAACAAGAGTGAAAGAGAAAAAAAAAAAAAAATAAGGCAAGCATTACTACATAAGCTCTCAAGTGAATCTACAAACGATTATAATGAACAATCAGGGACACAACCATACACTATACGAGGTCTGGGGAGAAGCGAAGAGCCTGAAAACACATGTGTGTAAACACACAGACAGACATAGCAATCACATCTAGATAAATGAAACCATCCTTCTGTTTTTCTGTAATCATTTCCATTTTGTCAAAAGAAAGGATCATATAACTTCAGGGAAGACTGTGCTGTCTAAAAGCAGTGAATCTGCACTCAATTATCTTCAGTTTGGAGAACTTAATCAATAGCTAACAACAATATTACTGGTATAAGTCTCGCATATATTAAGATTTTTATAAACTCATCAATTCTTTTTTCTTTGGCACTGAACTTTCTAGCTTGAACTTAGGGCCTAACAATAAACAAAGAAGTGCTATACATTGAGCCATCTACATATCCCAACTCTCTTTTAGAGGTTCCAGTAATGTGCCTGGACTCACCTTAGTCTGTGGCCCAAGCAAGTCTTGAACTCCTGCTGCAGCCTTCCAAATAGTTAGAATTACATGCCTTCACCACCAGGCTCAGTGAGAATCAACTATTTAAACAATTATCAACTCCAACTTTCTCCTTTTGAGAGGAAGGGGGCAGAAAGGATCCACTATGACTATTACACCATTTTTCTTATGGGTAAATCTTTTTTCTTTCTAAACACTTAATAGGCTCTCTTGCCAAATCTAAAAAGAATGTGCTGCTTTTTTCCACTTCTGCCACCCTTTCCCATATACACCTCAATTAAGTTCTTCTATACAGTCACTTCTTACAAACATTTCATTGCTTTTAGCAGACATTTGTTGAACTATATATAGGATATTGTTCAAAACAATGATCATTTTATCAAAGCCTGGAGCCTCTAGACAAAGTCAGACAAGGATTAGGTTTTCTTCATCCTCCTTTCTTTTGTTGGTTTTTGAAACAAAGTATTATTGCACAGCCCTGGCCAGCCTAGTGCTAAGAGATCCACTGCCTCTGCTTCTGTGCTGGGATTAAAGGAGCTGGCCGTCACACTTAGCTCTATTCATTCTTGAAGATGAAGGAACAGAACCAAGCCCACAGCATTCTCACTACAGTTTATTCAAAAGTGCTACCATAGGTATAAGGACAGAGATACAAAACACAATGTCGTCAAGGAGACAAAAATCTAAACTACAAGCTTCCTTCTAGGTAAAACCTACCTGGGTACTCTTACAAAGTCCAGCAAATATTTTCATCACCCTTACAAACTTCAATTAAGCCTACAGACTTCCAAAACTTTAGCCACATCCGAGGGACAGTGTATAAACTACCCCAAACCTAGCACACATAGAACTGCCTTTCAGATGGTTAACATGTGATGGAAATGGAAAAAGCATGGCTTATTTTTTCTTTAAATAATCATTTATTTAAGTATTTATTATGCCTTTGTTGTGTCATGAGGCTGGGCAGCAGCCCCTTATCTGCTGAGTCATTTCACTGGCTCCAGATGGGGGTGGGGTTAAGACTATTTTTCTTACCTTAGCTGACTCCAAGGCTCTTTCCCACTTGAGGTCCAAGAATTCCCTTCACAAAGTCTCTGCCCACCCCTGCCTGTCCTAAGAACCCAGAATAACCCTCTCTACTGTCAGCACCATGCCCTAGTTCTCATTTGTGACTGTCATACTCTTCCCAATACAGCTGTTCCTGTCTTTTAGAAAGGTGCAAGTGTAAAACTTCAGTCAGCAATCACCAGGCAATTGAGTTTCTATCTCACAGCCTCAGCTGTCCTCATTATAAAATTAGAATGATGTATGTATCAACAGGTTTATGAGATTAAGTGTCAAAATGACCCCTTTCTGTTTCAGTATTTGAGTCTTAGGCCTCACTCATATTACCCATTATTAAACGAGTATGCCACCACCGCCCAGAGAGTATTTTTTGTTTTATATGTATTTTTAAAATAAATAAATCACGCATCAACATGAGCTACCATTAAAAGGAAATTAATAATAATAATAATAAAAAAAAGTCTTGGCCAGGCAATGGTGGTGCATGCACACCTTTAATCCCAGCACTCAGGAGGCAGAGGCAAGTAGATCTCTGAGTTTGAGGCCAGCCTTGTCTGTAGAGGGAGTCCCAGGATAGCTAGGGCTACACAGAAAAATCTTGTCTTGAAAAACCAAAACCCAAACCAAACCAAAGTAGCCACGAGCTGCTCAAGGGTGCACTCTTAATCTCTAAGCCATTTATCCAGCCCCAAGGGAAATCTCTTTAGAGAAATAAGAAGCCTAAAAATTAAGCACACCTTACGTCTATTCAGAATTAAACTAATGATGGACAATAAAGATATTAAAAAGGAACGTAATTCCCTATGTAACAGTAGTCTGTTTTTTTTTTTTTTTTTTTTTTTTTGAGGGCAGTGCTGATGCTTGGGAGCAAACTCAAGACCAAGTCGATGGCTGAACATAATATCATTGAGAGCTATATTCCTGGCCTAAAAGGGTCACTTTAACATTTTATTTTATGTGCATGCATAGCAAGCAGGAGCCCAAAGGGGTCATAAGAAGCACCCGATCCCCTGGAACTGAATGTACAGATGGTTGTGAGCTGCCGTGTGGGTGCTGGGAATTGAATCTACAGATGCTGGGAACTGAATCTACAAATGGTTGTGAGCTGCAGTGTGGGTGCTGGGAATTGACCTCAAACCCTCTGGAAGTAGTCAGTGCTCTCAATTGCTGCACTCCAGTGCCGCACCCTCTACTTCTATCAAAACATGGTCTCACTATATAGTCTTGGCTGGCCAGGACTATAAAGAGCAGTTTGGCCTTGTACTCACAGATCTACCGCGTGCGTCTACCTTGCTGCCATGTCTGGCAGAATAGTAATTTTTATAAAGACACAGGCCTTTATCAGTCAGGCTTTCTAAAACTCAGATGTTACCCAATGGGTTATTAGGAAGGCTTGACTTATTTGCCAACACATGCTCATATAAAATTTCCTTTATGAACTGTTTTTGTCCCTTTTCTTTTTTTAAATTCTAAAGAGGAGCACAATTTCACACAAAAATAAAGGAGCAACATATTTGAAAGTCAGAAAAAATAGTTTTTGTAAAAAAACCAAGAAACTGCAGATAGGCCTTCACCACAAAATTGTGCAAAGTCTATGATGTACAGAAATCCAACATAGACTCCCAGCTGGGAGATATACAGAATTAACCACATGGGTATACTGGATCATTTAAACTGGCTCAAAATTATAAAGTATGTCTTCCGAAGAACTGAATATAAGTTAGCTTATTTTACTGAACTACTAAATCATATTGATAGAAATTCAAGTCACATTACTTATTTAGTAAAAAACATTTTAATTGAAAGAAAGATAGGAAGAAGGAAAGAAGGACGGACAGACAGACTGAATGTTACATTAGCACTCAAAATGAAAGGCTCATGTTCAGTGGTGTCTACAGACCCAGCTGCTTGGGTAAGACAGGCAGCTCTCTAGAGTTCAGCAAAAGTAAGAAAAAGGACAAAATGACGAAAAAGAGTAGGCAAGGGCAGAGAAAGAGACAGGAAAGGAAGGAGGGAGAGAGGAAGGGAGGGAGGATGAAGTCCTTGTTTTCATATGAACTCAGTAGCAATTTTTCAAGTGTGCAGTTGCAGCACAGTGCAGAACACAAGAGCACTTTGCTGACTGTATTACATGGCTGGCCTTTCTTTTAAACTTCCCAAAACATCTGT